ATTAATATTAATATTATTTTAATTAAATTTTTTTAAAAAATAAAACCATATAATAAAAATAATTATATAAAATCTTATTAGTTATTATAAAATAATTTTTCTATATTTCGTAATTTCTAAATATTATTTATAAATAATTATATAATAATTTATTTTATCTTTTATATTATATAAATATTTAATAATTATTTTATAAATAAAAGCAAAAAACATATATATTTTACAAAATACAATTTTTAAATATTAATTAAATTAATAATATAATTTAAATAATTTAAATAAATATTTTTTTTTTAATAAATATATTTATATAATATATAAATTTATATAATTAATTATCAAAATATATATTTTATCTTTTAAAAAATATTTATTTATTAATATAATATTTATTTCATATAAAAATTAATATAATATTTATTTCATATAAAAATATATTGTTCAACGGCGCATCCAATCATTGCCAACAAAAAAAATAAAATAAAATTATTTTAATTATTTTTTATATTATTATAAACATATAATATATTATATAATTATTAGATTTTCATTTTTTCTTAATTTTTATTAATATATTAATATTATATAAATTTATTATTTTTATTTATATATATATATATTTTTTATTTATTTTTCGCAAGATATATTCCTATTAAAATTAAATCATAATATTTATTTTTTAAATTTATATATTTTATAATATATATATAATTCCAAATTTCTTATAATAAATAATATATTTATAATATTATATATTTTCATTATCATATTATTTTTATCAATTAATTTAATAAATTAAATATATCAAAAAATAAAATATCAAAATTTAATTATAATTAATTATATTTTAGCTTAAAACTATTTCATTTTTTCAAAAAATCCTATCCCTCATTATTTTTAAATATATCAAAAATATATCAAAATTATTATATTTAATTATTATATAATAAATACATAATTCAAACCATACAATAACAATTACCAAAATTCAAAAATAACCGCGTTCTTTCAATACCGTTAAAGGACCCTTAAAAAATCGAACGAACCGTATTTTCTATATTTTTATAAAATAAAAATATATTCTCCAAATATTTCAAATGATTATTTTAAAAAATTAAATTTTCAAATCACTTAATCTACGCAATTACCCTTACCATAAAATTAATACTAAGATATATAAACAATTATTCTTATTTTTATATTATATTATTTTTTTCATTTTTTATTTGTTTTAAATGTTTTTCCCTTTATTAATTATTATTATTATTTTTTTTTAAATCATTTGTTTTTATTTTCGTAAACATATTTTTTAATTTTTGTCAATTTTCTTTATTCCTTTGCCCTCTCTATTTTCCCATATTAAGTTGTTATATCCAATTTTTCGTAATTCGGATCTTTTTCTTTTTTCATTCTGACTAAGAAATCCATAGATTCCATATAATTCAATACTTCAAATTGTCATATAATTGTTTATTTGAAATTATCTGTCATGTCATCCAAATTCACGAAATAGCCAGAATGCGTCCTCAGAATTCTCCATCAGATTATGTCAACTTAACGGAATTCTTTTCAAACAGAATAATATGTATCATGAAAGCCAAACGTGACCAGATGTGACCAATACTTTCCCACTTTGCTATTGAAAGTTGTAAATGCACACACACACACACGTAGAGCTGTTTGTGTTAGTAGGGCAGGGTACCTGCAAGTAAAGAAAACATCAGTCAACACCGGCATTATCAATCAGAAAACCGATTTTTCCTCCGAGGGGGCGGAATCACAGAGTTGGGCCCCAATCTCAAGGAACAATCAAGCAGTTCCATATTTTCATCGCTGGATAAATCGAAGAGACAACTTTCAGAAAACCATGGTTCTTGCCCCCCCAAAGTACGGGGGTTCCGTCAACCTTCCATTCAAACCAATTCTAGGATTTGAGCACCGAAGTCCTCCTCATGGAATCTTTCTTCTTCTTCACTAGCTCTCTGCTCCTGACCCACCAAGCGGTTGCTTCTCATTGGGTTACTGTAAAGTATGAGGGGTTGATGCCAGCTCCATCCCGAAGTAGAACCAACCAAAATTTTGTTGGCAAACAGCAATACCCGGATTGGTGGTTGAACCGCCCATGCGCACACACACACACAACCAACATATCTGAAAGAACCAACATGATGCCCGTCATGTTGGTGGTTGATCGCAACGCACGCATGGGAATCAAATATGAACTAGGCATAGCAGGCACGTTTTAAGCACAGCCCAGGCCTCCCAACCTATGGTAAAATGTCCATAAGATCTACCATTGGTATTTATCCATTGTGTATGCATGAGAGAGAGAGAGATATATATATATACAATATTATAGGTGTCGTTATGTATTGCTGTTTGTTTCCTCCTGACGATACAGCAAATATAAACACTTTTGCTCGGCAGGAAGGCAACTACAAATCGTAATGATCATCCAAGTAGTCGTTCATAGCCGTGGCCGCATCTCTTAAACGTCGGAATCATGAGACAATGGGCGACATATTTGGGTGACTTTGATCCATGGTTAGCATTTGGGAGACGCAGTTGCAGCTGGGATATTTCATTGGGTCTAATCATTCCATTTACCAACCGTGGAAACTAATTGCAGAGATCAGCCCAGTATAGCTTGGACAAATCCTTTTGTCTAGATTCCGTTCATAAAGATGGAACGCATCCGATGTCCTCAACCCGGCCCACCCCAATGCACCCAGGGTGGAAGGAAAGGCAGCGAAAGGAACAGCATGCTTGATAACCAGAGTCACGCTTCCTGGAAGTAGATGTACACAAAGACCTGGCTTCAGCCGCCACAGTGCTGTATGGTTTAGCTGGCTCACTTGAGCAAATGTGATTTTGTCAGAAAATCATGGGACGCCCCTTGAATCTCATAATTAGCTGATCGTCCTATATATGATGATTGCCATGACATGGGGGGGTTCTCCTTTTCTGGACAACCCAATCTGGAATGGGCGTTTCTGACATGTAAAACGACAATGGCACATGGACGATCCGTCCAGAAGAAAGGAGATTTGCTTCTACAACCACAACTATTACAGCTACAACTACGACTATAACCAGAACCACAACAGCAGCAATAACTACAGCCACAACTACCACTACACTACACTACACTACGCTGCGCTACATTACGCTACGCTACCCTACACTACCAGCCCACTACAACTCCAGCTCCAGCTCCAGCTCCACATCCATTTCCAACTCCAACAACACCAACAACAGCAACAGCAACAGCAACAACAACAACAACAACAACAACAACAACAATCATCACAACCACAACCACAACCACAATTAGTATTACCATTACTATTACGATTACTATTACTATTACGATTACTACTACTATTACTATTACTATAACTATTACTATTACTATTACTACAACTAAAACTATAACTATAACTATTACTATTACTATTACTACTACTATTACTATTACTATGACTACTACTAATACGACGACAACGAATACGACTACGACTACGACTACGACCGACTACTACGACTGCTACGACTGCTACTACTATTGCTACTACTGCTACTACTACTACTGCTGCTGCTACTACTACTACTGCTACTACTAGTAGACAACTGCAACTACAACTACCAAGACAACTGCAGCTGCAACTGCAACGAGAACTACAACTCCACTACTCTACTCTACACTGCGCTCCAATCCACTTCACCACACTACACGACACTAACACTACACTGCAGTACAGCTACAACTACAACAACATCAACTACAGCTACAACGACACTACAACTTGAACTAAAACTACAACTACAACTACATTACACTACACTACACCACGCTACATCCAGCAGTTGTGGTTGAGGTGACAACTGCAAACGCTGCAAAAAACACAGCTCCGACCAGCTTTCTGTCCATCAGCGGATTCGCGCTGCCATCCATGCGTCACAACAACTCACCTCTCGTAAAATTTCCTATCTTTGAAACTTCCGCCACCGCCTTGCGCGGTACTACTGGTGCGTATGTATTAGAGATACGCACATACATGCATACATACATTACATGACATTGCATTGCGTTGCATTGCATTGCATTACATTAGATTTGATTAGATTACATTACATTACTACATGTATACATGTAAAATACATACACAAATATGTGGGCGTAATACCTCAAAATAAGTGTAAACTACATATCTATGTATGATTTTGGTAGTTGTAGAAGTAGTAGTAACAATAATAGTAATAGTAATAGAAATAGAAATAGTAGTAATAGTAGTAGTAGTAGTAGCAGTAGCAGCAGCAGCAGCAGTAGCAGTAGCAGTAGCAGTAGGAGTAGTAGGAGGAGTAGGAGTAGGAGGAGGAGTAGGAGGAGTAGTAGGAGGAGTAGGAGTAGTAGGAGTAGTAGGAGTAGTAGGAGTAGTAGGAGTAGTAGGAGTAGTAGGAGTAGTAGGAGTAGTAGGAGTAGTAGGAGTAGTAGGAGTAGTAGGAGTAGTAGGAGTAGTAGGAGTAGTAGGAGTAGTAGGAGTAGTAGGAGTAGTAGGAGTAGTAGGAGTAGTAGGAGTAGCAGGAGTAGCAGGAGTAGCAGGAGTAGGAGGAGTAGGAGTAGGAGTAGTAGTAGTAGTAGTAGTAGTAGTAGTAGTAGTAGTGTAGTAGATGTAGATGATCTTCTTTCTTCTTCTCTTCTCTTGTTTGACTCTTCCCACCTCTGCTTTTCATCTGTCCATACTGTCAGAATTTTTACCTCTAAACTTCCTTCGAAAAGTGTATATATATATAAATGTTGAAACATACAATATTCAACAGGTGTATGATAGTATAGAAGTATGATACCGGACAGACCTACTTGGGAGACTTATTTCATTTTTAAATCGCGATGGTCGTCGAAGTAGACATGCTGCCCTTCAGCTAGCTCCAGTCTCTTTATCAGCGGCTTCCAGTACACCAGTGCAACTCCCTTCGAGCGCCGCTGCTTCACTGGGATTGCGAACAACGGCGATGACAATGAACAGAACGATGCCAAGATACATGGGCCAAGTCTCCTGCAGCGCGAATGGAAGGTGGAATGGCATCATGCTATTTACTCGTGAAAAAGGTAAAGCTGTAGGTCTTCCAAGTATCTAGATAGACATGCTTAGAACATGTCCAACAAGGTTGGGTACAATGATACCAATCTTGTAAATACCCTAGAGTTTTGTGTCAATATTCAACTGTACACCCCTGATGACGACCCTGATATGTGTTCATCGACCATGCTCCTCGCTAAAGAACTGGCAGAAAAAAATTGCCACAAAAGGGGGATATCACAAGCCAACCATTTTAAGAAGGAAAACGCCCGTAAACCATATGGAGGGACCTCAGTTATATGCTCCATTGAATTATAGATGTCTCCACCATAAATCCAAATAAATTCGACCAATAGCAAGCTTGTAACCAAACCACCATGTGCTTGGCAAACTTTTAGTAGCACCTTGGCTCCCCATTTCAAAAATATGGATACGCATATAGCTCCTAACAGCTCCCCCAGATCGCGAACGCGCCTCGCCACTGTTCATGGGACCTCCAGGTCCCAGGCCAGCCCGACGCTGGAACCTGGCGGTTTTTGTTACTTCTTTCGTGCAAGTCAAAACTTGACAGCCGTGGGTGATGCATTTTTTTCTAAATCATCAGCTACCAAGTTATGTGAATCCAAGACCAACAGCCAATTTTGCATTACCACACCGTAATACCCCTTCCAATCAAACCTAAGGGGAGAAATTTGCAAAGTGCCAATCTTTTCTTGTTAATCAAAATTTGGAAGACTTTCGCAGCACAGGCTGCTTGAAACCGTATTGCTAGTTGGACTCGCCACCACCAGTGTCTGATCTTCCCCTGTGAATGGGTTTCGCAATCAGGAGTTTGGAAGGATCTTGGCAATATTTTTTGGACGTTTTTGGGTCCCTGCTGTTAAATTGATTGCATCTTTAATCCAGTGCCCTGCCATATCAAAAATTACACCATATCTTTGTTACCCCAATGGGGAAAAGAAAAAATGATTTTGCCATTCCGTCGTTAGCGGGTGCACAGATCGGCACTTGTGTTTCCACCTTAAGCATGTGCATTCGTTCCGGCATTCGTCATCATGCATCCGTGCATCCGTCAGCCCCCGGGTGTGTCTCGTCGTCGCCCCTGAATTTGCTGTTTTTTGGTTTGTTTTGTTTTTTTGAATTAATGATGACAATCACGGGTGAGGATTTCACGCGTAGTTTATTGTCTCTACCGCTGTCACACAGCAAAAACATAGAACGGCGGCAAAATCCAAGTTTAGACTCGCCTCATTTTGTCCAAACGCTCAAGGATACCCGGCTTGAATCAGGTGTGATTCAGAGGTTTGTGTCCAGTGCTAGGTGATTGTACCATATTGTACCATCAAAGTGATGGATTTCCCATCGCCATGTTTGACCACCCGACAAATCCCAACTTAGAATTAGAGGGGTCGGGAAAAGGTCCCATTTATCAAGACAAACATCACCTAGGCATGGCCGGGTCATGCCAACCAGAAATTTAATCAAGAATCCCGGGATAGAGGACAACATGGATTGGCAAACCTACACCAAACAGTAGAGCTGCAAGTCTGAACAGTGTCCTGCAACGCTGGAGAACCAGGGAACTATAATGCCATAAGCTGGCCTCTATCAATCTATGCGGGACTCCTTTCTCCATCAACAGCGGCTTCCATCGTAGATTACCAGCTGACCGATTTCCATCAACCGGCTTCACCTCTGCAAGATTCGCGCCAGCTCAGGAGAGAGCCTGACAGCTCGCAGTAAGACATGATTTGGCTTCGGATGTCATGAAACTAAAGTATGAAAACCTCGGTTCTCTGGATGACAGCCTTGCCATTCTTCGTCCAAGCTGGTTCGCACTCTTTAAGTCTTAGAGTTTTCAAGGGGAGCCATGGATGAAATCGACGCAACCTGTGATAAAGCAGATCTCATCGAATGGCTCTTGATTTCCACTCAGTTCCAATACATGCCCACTTGCAAAAACCAGGTTGAACTGCGCATGAGCCCAACATGCCGCAACGTGAAAACTAATCTGGAGGCTCCCGAAACATTGCGGTTGAAGAATTTGAAGATGACTTCTGCTTGCCAATGTCATGGTTCCTCAGCTGCTCCAACTTGCAAGGTGGATGCCAGCCTGATGTCCTTCTCTCCATCTTGTTGAGCCTGAAGGGCGCTACGAAGGATGCGATATGATCAACTGCACCCCAAGAGCTTCATCCCGTTTGTTGATCGACAAGAACTAGGGAAATCCTGTCCTTGCTGCGACCAACAAATCAAAACAACCAACAAATATGGATTCAGTGGACTATACAATCACCTCCCGAAGAAGCGGCAGAAAACACTCTTGTTCAACACCGTTCCATTTTAGTGCCCCCTCCAAAGGATCCTTTAGAATCCTTTGGGCGACATCCGGGGCCTTGAGCACTTGGCAAAGCTCCTGGCAAAAAAAACACAGCAGCCTACAACGATGCAACCACGACATGATACATCCTCATTTGTGGCAAATGACTAGATACTATGAACAGCCAAGCATCCAACATTTCCCCAGCATGCAGAATAAAATCTGAACTCACAACATGATTCCACCATATGTGCCATGGCCAAGACATCGCTTCCTTTCCACAATTTCGGGAACAGTCAACCCCCCATTACACTAGAGATTCATACTCCAGTATTTTTGGAACTCCATTCATGATGGTGGGATGACCATGTCCCTTTAACCCTTTAGCCATTTGTTGACCATGGGCGTGTGGACCCTCAAATGATATAAAGTTAGTTGCATCCCCAAAAATATTTGATTATACCCCCATTCAATCATCAAACAAACTCCCGATTTTGGTTGGTTAACCCGCCATTTTCTACTCCCATGAAACATGCCGGCCGTGGGATCAGGTGGGGCTACATGGCTGAGCGTTTCATGACCATCTCGGGCGCCTCTCGCTGTTTGTGGTTCAGCTCAGATAGCAACGCCTGGGAAAAGCAACGATTTCCGGCAAACGAGTGATCAGAAACGAGCACTTGTAACGATGCATTGCAAGGAATAAAGGGTGTGAAGAAGTTGTAGTTCATAACGCCCCATTAAGTAGTCACCAGTTACATAATACATGCCAATAATCAGTAGCATAAAAATGTCACAGCTAGCATTCGCACCCGTACAGGCCCAAACGCTGCACAGGAGATTTTAACTCCAAACCAGCAATCTGTAAGCCTCTCATGGGGGCAATCGCTTACGAAGGGCCAACTGGCGTGGCCAGTAATCACCTTGCCAAAATCTGACCTCAAAAAAGGTTGATCTCTAGACTTTGAGGATGCGGTTTTTGATCAAAATTTGTTGGCCCATGTTGGCCCAACAGTTGGACGGTGTAAGCTTAGCCAAAAAGCTTGATGAAACTTGTAGTGGCTTGGCTCCTGAATTCTTACCCATTAGCATGTAATACCAATCCACAATAAGCCAATATTTTGCAGCCCACGGCATGCCCCTGTATTTTCCTGGCAAACGTGATGATTTTACCATATCATATTTGTTCAACTTTGTATATGCACCAACTCCATGTTTCAATAAAGCATGAACCAGCCCATGCTTCCAACTTGCAAGGCAAACCCACGGAGAATCAGATCAACTCTATGACTCCGGGGCGCCTTTGTTTGCTCTTCTGTGAGCTGTTTCTTAGGGATCTCCTTCTCCTCAAGGGACTCAAGTGTGACAGCTCGGAAGATACCAACAGAATTTTCTGCAGATGGAGCTCTAACATGTCCTTGGCAGCAACTGGAAAAACACCATTAAAACATGGTCAGCCCTAGATACACTGCGAAACATCAATTCATTGCCTCGTTGGCAAATATCATTGTGTGACCCCATGTGTCGCAAAATATATCGAAAGATAAAGTTGTGCTAGCCACTATCCGCCCAAGGTTACCCAGTAAAGAGTAGAGGCGGGTTTGGTACCATGGGAACCGAAAAACGGTTGTTTCTGAGCCGCAGGCCGCTCGACCCATTCCCAAATCTCGACCTCCAAGTGGTCAACTGTTCGTGTAATCCCATGCCCCGAATAAAAATCACCCTGATGAGAAACCAAGTCTAAAGGGAAGTTTTAAATGGGAAAATCGTCTATACATGAAGGATTGCAAGACCCTAATGATAAACGCCCACCGGGGGATGAAACATATGAAAACCACATATTTGGTACCGTCCCATGGGGGAATTGTGGGGGGATAGGATAGGTTTGTAGGAAAAAAAATGTGCCATGCTTAGCATCCCAAACAAACCACCAGATTTTGGGCCGGTGGAATCTAACATCTAGAGCTTGATCACAGCAACCAAATCCTACGTGAAGCAGCAATACTTCAAGTGGAAAACACCACATTCAAATGCGAAATTCAAAGCGCTAACCAAATTGGACACATGAATCATCTTCGTCCATCTTTCTTGTCAATGGCTGCTTCATGCGCCCCCCCATTCTTGCAGGAGGTATCGTCATATTCAGCCATACGCACTTTTGAAGCAACTGACACACCCAGAAGCGTTTTGTCTCAGGGCGAAAGAACATTGGAGAACTTTGGGTTCCAACCGTCTAACTTCAAAGTGAGCTCTGGCTCTCTCATATCTGGCTTTTTGAACAAACTTCCCTGGTTGAAAACAATCAAGCGACATAAGGAGCTATGCATGTTTCGAACACCAACAGAAACCGAACCTTGCGCCATGAATGAACCCAGCTACAAAAGTGACACCAGTCTTCTGATCCGGGATTTGACAAGTAAATCCAGTAGTAGAATGGATAGAACCAGATAAAATATAAATACACAAGCAAACAACCTTGGGTTAAGTTGGGGGACAAGGTGGCAAGGTTCCTTCCACAAAGCTGGGTGCTTCTGTTCCAAAGATCTCAACCATGACCAGTTCGCAGATCGCACCTTGGGACTTTTCGAACTCCTCCACCAGTCTTGCAACCTCATCGTCCATGAATCCCGGTGGCGGCATTTTGGAAGCTCAGGTGGCGCTTGCAATGTCACACCTCGTGCAAGGAAAAACGTGCCTGGTAGAATTCTGGCGAAACATCTGTGGTGAGTAGATAGTCACTAAAAACTTCATACTGACTTCCTGCCATGATATCCCTTGTGCAACATTAAGCACATAGTTCGAAGGGCCATCCGTTTCGGGTCGCGTGTTTCTTACTATGTGATTTTGGGCGAAAACCGCCTCAAACTTTGAGCCGAACAGCGGCATGGCTGCAAGGGTTCAATCAGGTTGAAAATCAAACTGCAAACGAATGGTTGAGTCAATGTAGCAACATTGATTCACCCATGTGAACCATCCACCTCTCTACATGACATGCATCTACAGCAACTTGGGCTCTTATGTCATGCGGGGGCACTCTATTGACTTTAGTCTGCCGTAGTACGCAACATATATGTCATGTTTTTGTCTATATGCTTCTCCATTTTTCCGTACTTCTTCGGTGCCACTTGACCCACCCAAGGTTCAGAGAGGCGTGCAGATATAACATCACTTTTGTATGTTTTGCGCTGATGATGGCCTTTGCCCAGTAGCTGGAGGCAACCTTGGAATTTAGCGCCGGAAATTCAAAGGTTCATCTATGGATGGAAAGCTCGAATTCATTCACTTTCGGCATTTATCGAATTACTCCTGTTGTTTATTGCGCATCAGCCGCCTTTTTTTCCCAATTGTGATATCACACATCCACGATTCAGCTCTCCTTCATTGGTTTGGGCCCCAAGAGTTTCATGACCTCAAGCGATTCACCGGCCATGATTGGAGCCCAGGATTCAATCAAGAAGCTGATGGTTTCACATGGTTTCAGCACCAAAATTCCCAAAACTTGGTGAGTTGTTGATCCCCTGCTAAAAGTTTAATTAACTTTCAGTAGATGCAAATCAGTTCTACCGTGAAGACGCCAGAAATCCAAGAGGATGGCCGCAATCCATCCGACAATGGCGGCGATCATCGGTGAATAACGATCATCGGGGAATAACAAAGGTGTAGTGGGGATATTCACCGAATAAAAGATAGGGAAGGCGACAGACACCGGGAAAGAGAAACACGAGAAGGAATGGTGGTAGCCACCAGCAAAAACGTGGAAAGTCACTAAGAATAGAAGTATATATATATATATATACATAATATATATATATATGTATATATAGTATTTCAATTATATAGACATAATATGAAGGTTCATCGGGATCTTCATCTTGGTATATCTTGGCTGCGGATGGTATGGCAGCAGCAAGAACCATCAACCCGCACTTTGCCTTTTCAACTCGGCAACGCGTATAGAAGGGATTTTTCATTGCTGTGCTTGTTCTTTAGAAGGCCTAATACGCACCCAAAGAGGCAGGAAAGCGCATCATCGTCACCACCACCACGGTCAGCATAATTTTCGACATCTTCATCATCCTCATCCTCCTCACCATCGTCATCCTCATCCTCATCCTCATCATCCTCATCATCCTTGTCATCATCATCATCCTCATCAAAACTACAAAAACACTACGATTCCATCTTTTTGGGCCCCTTTGAACACAAGACGTATATGCGTATGTGTGCTGAAGTTCTTCAGTCAGTGACTTTGAAATCGGAGAGTTGCTTGCCTGAATGGTCGTTGAACCATGTGAAACAAGCATGTATAGATGTTTTCCGGGCAAAGAATGTTAAACAATCACATGTGCAGATTATTTTCCAGTTGTGAAGGGAGCTGCAGGCCACATCTCGGTCCCCCAACTCGTTCGTTTTCCTCTCGGCGGTCCACAGCTGCGGTCCTGGTGGGATCGACTGCTGGGCGATGGGTGGCGTGTCCCGGATAATCATGTATGTATGATGATTTACGAATGATGATGGATACAAAATAAAGGTATATAATGATAGATATCATTGGGTATAAACATGAATATTCACTAAAGATTGAACTAATGAAACGAATGAGTGACACACGGACATAGAGGGGCCATATTTCTAGACTGTCACACGCATGGGGGAAGTGATGATTTCACCCTCAAGGTTAGCGATCAAATGAGGACGATCATTCGGTTTATTCCCTAACTAATACTGGTTAGTGAAGACTGTTGTCCGGGGGCAATGCTAGATATGTTTCAATTCCTGGTGGGGCCTAACATTCTGGGGGAAGCCATGAATTTCCAACTTCCATGCCCCTGTTTTCTTTTAACACGAGGGGCTTTCTTTAACCCCAATTGTGCCATTGGATGCCCAGAGTCCTGAAGGCCACCCATGCAATGTGCGGAAAGGTGTCCAAATCCGTGCTGTCGACGCGGCTAGGGGCACGGAGCCACCTCATCATCTCCACATCCACAGCAGATCATGCGGTCACTGATGGTTTCATCGTGCTGCGTCCAAGAATTGACCACGGTTCCCAGGTTCCCAGGGCCTGCGCATTTTTGTTCCATACGCAGTCATCTCTGACTACTCTCTAAGTCGTCTGCTCCTGGGTGAAGGAGCCATAAACGAAGAGGGCCCAAAACCAACCTGTGGCGATGAGTGATTTATTTCACCAGGCCTGCAAAAATATAAATGGGAAGATACGAAACTCAGCAGCATTCCACAGACATGGATAAACATGGATAAACAATATCCCCACTAAACCCACAGGAAAAAAACAGAGACCAGGGACTTCCATCTTCAGCGTTGCGTTCTCCCAGGAGGCTTTGTACCTTGGAACAACAGCCAGATGGAAGAGGTATCCACAGACTACAGATAAATAGTTGTGATACCTTTTGAAAGGTGAACAAACTCATGAATTGGAGGGCGTGAATCTTCTGTCTGAAAAATCACGATGACCACTGTACAGATGATGTCCTTTGGGGGAAATAGATAAGCCGGTGGGTGGTTCAATGGGGGCCCACCTTTCTACTAACCCAGCTATTGACCGTACTTTGTGATGGCTTCATCCACTTGGCGCTACGTAGGGTGCCAGTGGATCAACTGGTCTTTTCTTTGCGATCTTTGGGGCCACTGGTTGGCGCCATGCCCAAATCCAATTATCTAATTGTAATTCATTTCTTTCTCGCTGGCAAACTGCAAGCAGGTCGATTCGTTGGTATTCGGACATGTCCGTTTTGCTGTGAATTTGGATCAGAAATCTTGAGCCATACCAGCGATATCTAGCACCCCCACCACCCCATCAACACTGCCCTTTTTGGCATCCTGGGAAGCACGCCATATGACCCAGCTCGCCGCCATAGTCGTCAAACTCCATGCCGTCCTCCTAAAGTTGGCATAATCCAAAAGGCTTCAGGGTTGATTGATTTCCTCTGAGATGCCTTTGCTCCATGAATCTTTCATGCCAAAACTGACCAAGTTTCAAATGGTTCCTGTGAGCATGCGCTTTTGACACCGCGGAAGCATGCTCAAAGCCTTCTTGTTGAAAGCTTCGAGATGGCACGAAGGAAGCAGTGAAAGTCAAACTCAGTGCCAAAGAATCAGGAGTCGATGAAGGCAATGAAAGTTTGTGCCCGAGTCACCTGTGTGCTCATGTCTGGAAGTCTTCTTTCAGGGAATGCTTGACCGATTTGAGAGCCGGATTGCAAACCTTAATCTATAGAACCTTAGATTCCCCTCTTTGCGCTAGTTACAATTGACTTTGTCTTGCGTTCAACACTGCTGAACCTGACAAAACTTGGTTTCATACAACATCTAAAGCACTTGGCCAGCCACAGCTGCGGCCTCCAAGCTTTTTTTTCTCGAAAAGGTGATGTTTCTGTGCAGCGCAATTCCAACTAGGTTGTCTTGGCATATGCCCACTTTACAGTATCAGCCCAGTGTGAGAATACACTGGCCACTTTGTCGTGTACATGCACCTTGTGCCGCTCCTAAAGTGATGCAAGAAAACAGTTTCAATCCTCAAGCCCCCAAACCAAGAAACTTCTCCACATTGACCACCAAGCCTACCAAACTACCCACAAATTTCGCCTAAGGTTTGATGTCCAGGAGGTACTTGAACACTTCAGTGTACACCTATTGCAATCAACGCTGGCATGTTCCGCTGTTGATTGGGGCTCGGCGTGTTTGCAAACATGCGTCCAATGCGTTTTTGTCTGCCAAACTCACACACCTAGGAAGCCCATGCGATAGCGGCTTTCTGTGCAAATGTGACCGCCCTCTATCTGAGCTTCAGCGCATCTGTAATGGAGATTTGCACAGATGTTGTTTGAACACAAACTATAGCATCTATAGCATGCCCAAAGAGATAGAAAAACACGTTTCCAGGATGGCCCTTGGTGATGTTCTCACCGTGTTTTCCAAGTGTCCAACGTGTGGGCACCTTGTCGGGGGGTGCTATACTGTAAAATCTTTAAGTGGGGATTAGTGGGCCTCTGTCTTCTCCCCGTTCTTGTCAGGGTGGTAGCGCCTCAACCTCGGCAGAAAAAATCAAAAGTTTGTTTGCCAGGTTGCATCGTCAATAGGGGTTGGTTGCTACATCTCAGCCAATGGCAGCTGCCTGAAAGCCGATGAATGCTTGTAAGCTGGCATGGCCTGGAAGTGAAATATCAGCTGAGTGCATCAAAGCTGTGACCCCCAAAACCCTGGAAGTTGAAGCAGATCTGTCATGCAACAGCCACGCTGAACTGGAGATCTCAACTTCATCCTTTCCATTCTTCAAAGGCTATGTAAAACTTTCAGCTCCAAATGCAGACACTGCAATCTACTCAAGCTCAGAACCCACATCACTAGACTTACATACCGCATTTGTTGGCACAACTTCGGATGCACGATTAAGCTTTTTCCATCAACTTTTTCTGCGCAGGGGGCAGCACAGTGACTACCACGCCTTGATCTCCTCGATCTCTGCGATGGCTTTTCCAAGAATCAGCATGACCTCACCGGAATCATTTGGTGGCACGATGACTGTCCGCTCCAAATCAAAGCAAGACAAACATCTGGGTAATCATTTAAATAACTCACTAACCAGAAATAAGGCTGTCTTGGGGATGATTCCCTTTACTAACCATGATTATAGTGAGGTCGCAGAGATGCCGTTATAATTTACCAAGAAAAATCCCAGTCCCATCAGCTATTCCCTTCTCACCTCGTGATGGAAGGTGGATCTCGACGCCTGCATTGAAAACGATCACAGCATGGATGTCTGAACCCCGCTGCATCGCAGCAAACCTAATTTAATTCAATTTAATTTAATGATGATGATAATAATGACGATGGTGGTGGTGGTGATGGTGATGATGATGATGGTGATGATGGTGATTGTGATGATGATGATGATGGTGATGATGATGGTGATGATGATGATGATGATGGTGATTGTGATGATGATGGTTGCCCTTGATACCATGATCATACATTATGATGATTCCGCTGCTCGCAGCACTTATGATTTTATGATAGTGATGCTGATGTTGATGATGATCATGATGAAGTGCATCATGATTTGATAGTGATGCTCGGTGAGAAAATGTTCTATTCGATTCAAACCCATCCTTTGTTTAGGCCTGATCTGCTCCACTGGAGCTGTGGCTGGTCAGATCGGAGCCTTTGGAAACGCCCTGGTCATGGCACAAAGGTCGCAACACTACCACCGAGAGAAACACTACCGTCACAATCAACAACAGGTCATTCTGGAAGCAAACGATGACAACAAACGGGTCATCTTCTTGCAAGCAGCAATGGTTTCCAGGTAGCTCAAACATCATCTCAACACACTTTTCTCAATATTCCCACCCGAAACAAGCTTGGCCAAATTGGTATGCAGGTTCAACATCGCACATGCATCCAGCTGCAAATGTCAAGCGTTGCTAACACTTGCGCTTGCTGCGCTCCTGTCTTTTTGCTTTCGGCTTTTCCTTTGGCGACTCCCTGAAGGGTGTCTGCGGTTCAACCTGCAGGACTTGGCAACACATCGGGCTGTCTGGACTGAGTGGTGGTAAGGAACGTGCTGGAGCTATCAAAACCATTCAAAACCACCGTCGGAGAAACAAAGTCAAAGAACCAAATCCTATTAAAGTGCAGTGACCATGCAGGCGTCAAACGCTAAAAAACATCAACTAATTTCCGCGCCAAAGTCGACAAGAACAAACACCCACACATCCAACATGACAAAGGCAATATGAATATACATCACGCGAAAGCTAACACAACCAAAACGAAATCACTGCGCGTTTGAACCTTGTCTGCAACTCTTCTTTTGATCTCTGACCCCCATGATTGCCCTATGCAAAACAACCCTTTTTGACAGACCAGATAAGAGGACGCTTTATGCAAATCTTGGATGGGCCTGGCCACTCTGAGGCAATGACTTTGACCATTCAATCAGCTGCAAACCACAGAAACGATTGGTTTGAGGTCGCCACATCTGGCCGCTCTCGTGGGAAATCGGGATAGTAACCTTCGCCATAGGTGAAGCTGCTAGTGTTTCTTGACTCAACTGACCCTGCCGCATCACAAGCACCAAACAAAGAAGGCATCAGCGCTGTTTGGACAGTGCTGGCCAAGCAACGCTGGGGCGGAGCCGGTCTCACGAAAGGAACTGATGCTGGAGCTGGCCTCACAAAAGGAACTGACGCTGGAGCTCGCCTCACAAAAGGTCCTGAAGCTGGAGCTGGCCTGAGTTCAGAACAAACTGATGGGCGAAAGAAACAGTGGCACTTTGAATTCTTCAACGCCTTTTTTCCTCGTACAATCCAATCACATCGGCTAGTTAGTTTATAGGGGTTCCCATAATGTGCCAGTCCACAGTCCACAATAAACCGGGTAGCCCCTGTAAACAAATTAAACACCACCCAACTCGCTTTTTGAAACTGCTCATTTGAGGCCAAAACCCTTTGTCTCGTGAGAGACACTCACAGAAACACACATTTCCCATGGCGCCAGATGGGAGCACAGTCTCCCTGTGCAGCTGCTTTTCAGTTGGACTTTCTGGACAAAACATCTGCATCTTGCTGTCCCACCATGTTCCTTTTCTTTTGCTGCCACAGTGTCTCAACAAAATCCCAAAATACATGGACAAGTTGAAACACTGCAAAGTATGAGGTAACATCGCCTGCAATATCCTGGAATCACTTTATTTACTGACCCTGAAAGGCTGCAGTTTCCCATTTATTTTCTGTTTCCAATGGAAATCCAGAGGATTTGGGGCTATCCATGCTCCACAATTATTTGGACCCATTTGGGTTTAATCAGGATAGAGGATAATGTTACATCATGTAATATAATCATCCAATCATCCATTCAACTTGGGGTAGCCTATTTCCAGCCAAAGCCACTTGAAGCATTTTGAACCATGTTCAACCCCCCTGCTGACTCCAACCCAACAACCCACAGGGCCCACTTGGAGCTCCTCCTTTCCCAACAACTCGTCCGTGAGCTCCCATGCGGTGGTCAACTTGGATGACACGGGCGCCGTGAAAACCACCTGCGCGCAAGGCCCAGCAAGATTTGCCAAGTTCGGATGACACTTCATCAATTTTTGATCATACTTAAGCCACTTAAGACTTCATTAATTAGGGTCTATCCCCCCAAGAGTTTATGTTTTGCCAAATCATGCCATGATCAACAGCCCAGGGATTCATGGTTTATCAATGTGAGGTTGACACTACCTGGGAATTCAGCACCTGACTCTGCACATTTCTCAAAACATCGGCTTTGAAAAGGGGCGAATGTTGGTGCAGAGTCACTCCGGAAGGTCCAGGGATCACTGGATCACCATTTCAAACAGCTCTGACAGGCGAACAGGTGCCAATCCCTTCATTTCAAGCGATGAAATCGCGCTGGCTTCGTCACGAACCGATGTGACACAGCGGAAAAGGCTAGATTCGATATGCCGTCCCCTTGTGGGACTCACAATTTTTCGGAGATGTTTTATGATTTTTATGCAAAGGAGGATGAGATCTTCTTTGCCAATCGTTTGAAGCGCGTGCGGGCAATGATCACACTGAAGACCACCACCGCCACGGATGTGCCAATGCAAAAGGCATACCTCAAAGAGTTGACAGCCCGACCGTAGCCACCAAAAACGATGCCGAAAAGTATGTCACCATAAATCACCATGCTATCACTGGGTAAATCCACGAAGTAAATCTCCATTTTCAGTAGCTATGGTCCTGCTATGGTAGTTCGATCATTTCCATCACCAAGAACCTAGAGATACCTGGAGGATTTGGGGTTGCCAGGTCACCAGATACCTTTGACTCCGCAGCCGAAGTGGAAAGCCAATGCATAGCCAGCAGGAAGCATCAGCCCATAGTAACTCAACAGATATACGACCTCAGCTTGATGGTCTACCCCTGACAAACGTCCTTATTTGGCTGTCAAAACTCGTTCAGGACCCTGGTTCACAGCCAAATGGCTGATAAATGGATGTTCATCCGAAATATGGTATAGTATAGTAGATCTTGATATTAGTCTTGATTCATTCCCATTACTTTTTTAAGCCTGCCAGGTAAGGGAGAAAACAAACAGTTTTGAAACTACCGCCCAGTCACAGGTGCGGTGCCTGTTCACATCACTAAACATCAGAACATGGAGATCTATTGAAACCATCAACTTGGATGGGTCAAAGTATCCGAGTCCTGAAATTTACTGCGATGATCATCTGCATCTGAAACCCTGGCTTAGCATTTAAGATCGTGCTTGATAAATTGAAAAAGGAGGCATCTATAGTCGGATGGTCCTCATATCCATCTACATATTTGGTATATCAGTATATCCTCGAAAAACTGGTTTTGGCTGAAAATAAGGTACCCCAACTTTTGATGCCTATTTTCAGACAGTATCCCTATTCAAATGTCCACAATATGAGGTATTTCCATGTATTTCTATGCATTTCCTTTTTGCAGACACAGAAAAAAAATGTGGCTGGTTAAGTACTCCTATCTTATCTTTACTAAAACACATTGAATTCCAGGTGAAGAATGGATAAATCACAATGATTCACTAACCCGAAAAGTTCAGGCCACCAATCGGAACCTTGAACCCAGCCACCTCCGAGCGTGACGTCACGACGTAAGGATTTATATCCCTATGTCATCTAGTAAATTCCCATTGAATCCCTATTACATCCATTGAAATCCCAAAATCCCATTGAAATCCCATTCAAATCCAGTAACCCCCAATTAAAATCAATTAAATACCATTCAATTCATGGATATTCATGGATATTCATGGTCTTAAGGTCTCTTTCTCCATCTCCGGTCCCGGTCATCGATGTCTCAACAAGGGGCCGAACTGGCGGTCATCTTCCCCATGCCACGCAAGGCACCAGACATGATGTGCTGCGTTGTATCCGGAAGACCCGCCTGAATCTACATGATCCAAGATCTGTAGCGTTCTGGTGCTTTTCACCAGCAGAAATGGTGGATTTTTGACCGTTCCGGGGTGAAATCTCTGATTCTTGGGGACTTAGCACTTACCCGGCCTGATAAACGTTTACAAAAAACAATGGAAAGATCCACCATGTTTAATGGGTAAATCAACTATTTCTATGGCCATTTTCAATAGCTATGTTAAATTACCAGAGCGTAACCCTGGGTGAAAACAATGGTTCCAACATCTTCCGGAACTTCTTTCAACAGCCAGAATTTGGATGAACTTGGCTCATACAAAGTATATTTTTGCCGCTGTTTTTCAGCGAACCCGTGCATAACTTGCAGCGGCTCAGTGACATGATCAAGATGCTACTAACCTTCGAAACCAAGGGGCAAATGCGAAAATGATGAGCAAGCTCTGAATCAGTGTTTTCACCTCAGCACGGTTCAGCAACCGTCTGGGTTTGTCTGTGCAAAAATGGGATATAGCCCAACATTTCGATTCTATAGGAACCATTAAATGTAATGTATGCAGTATATGAGATATATGTAACGTATGTGATTTATGTAACATATTTAATATACCTGATATGATACTACGTATACCACTTAATTTGGTGGTACGCCTGGTATAGAACTATCTTCTTTGAGATTCATCATGGATTCAACGGAGCAAGGTTTTTCGAGGCTTTTTTCCGCTCATCTCTCCACAGTCAGCAAACCTCGGGGTAATCCCTGAAGTTAATGCATCCAAATGCCCAGGTCATTTATCGGGTCATATCCCACCTACCTGAAAGGATAACTGCTGTAAGCAATGATTTCCTGGTGGGAAAACATGCGCTGCTTTGCACAGCATTGCCATCAGCTATTCTCTTAGGGGTCACCCCATACCAATCATCAACCAACCAATGGGAAATCAATGAATCACCTATTTTGTTAATCATGGTTTTCTTTTTCAACAACTAAATTTTAACCATGGGCAATAGATGTTCATCAACTGGTTAGCCCAGTTTTTTGAAGTAGATTTCCGAATTTCAGTTGGAACTTCCTGCGGCTTTGCAGCCTCACCAGGCTTCACGTAGATCCCAGCAATGAAGTGTTGACCGAACCTGAGCTCGGCGACGTCAGAACAGGGGTCAGGAGGAAATTCAGGGCTGAAGTTTGACATGGAAGTTCATGGAAGCCATCAACACTGGGAAGAGGATTTTCCAATTTCAGAAAAAGCCAGTATTGGGAGTTCCATAGCACTGTCCCAGCCCAAAAATACTGGACTGATGGGTATCCCTCCTATGGACAGGAATATAATTTTCATCCTCTCCTAGAGGCTGTGTCATCTGGACTTGGAGAGGATTTGAAAATGGATTTCAAAGCCAAGTGCTTCACCTGAAGTGATTTACAGCCCATTTACAACCTGCAAAAAAGGTCGCCAAAGCAACATTTCTATCTTGGTGGCTGCAATCTGAAGAATCTGACTCACTTGAAATCTGTTTGGATGCCCATCCATCTGAAACCTCATACTCCCCACATCGTTCACTTGCTCGAGGCTGACTTGAGTGCATGAACATGAGACTCTTGAAGTGTGTCACTTCGGCCGTGCAGAATACCCTAACAGGCCCTGGCCCAGTAACAAACTCCCAGCTGTCCCCATTGAGGGTCTAAACTAGACCCTAAACATCCCTAAACCCACTTCTAATACTTGCAGTTTACCCGGCTTGCCTCTCACTGAATTTTCTCCGGTCACGTCATGAAGGGTTTTTTCCTGTTTTTCTCTATGTCTCAGCCCATATTCGATGCCTTCGCCGTTGATTTTTCGTCAACATTTACCCATATGTATACATATATATATATATATATTCAATGGCCATGTTCATCATCTTCATTGGTCAAACACCGATGTTTTTTTCCAAATGTCCCCAAATTTTAATCCATCACACTGCGAAACATGTAGCACAGTTTTCGCATCCTCCCAGCATGCTCTTGGCGCGTCTGGAAGGGTATACTCCCCCCAAAAATATCCGTTTTATCGGGGAATTTGTGATAATCTATGGATGGCGTACACCATTTTCAGACAAAAACCCATTGATTGATGGATCCGAAGTCTCCATCATGACTAATTATAGTCACTCGCCGCCGATGGTTAAATCAACCCCATCTTTGTTGGTGAAACCAAGCCATTTTTAAGTCGGTGAAGTCCCAATTCTTGCTGATTTGCCTATCTTCGTTGCTGACTATCCACAGCTGCCGTGCCGTCAAGAAACGTCATGAAGCTGGCGATCATCAGCCACACCACCAGATTCACCGCCAAGGTGACCTTGACGAAGGTCTTGGCCTCCTTCGGCCTCGGTGGAAGGTGGGCTTTTTGCTGGGACCTATCTATTTGGGTTACCCTGGGTTAGTCTCCAGTAAATTGGCATAGATATACATAGATCTTGAAAAGTGCGAGTTTTGAGTGGAAACATGTGGAAACTAATCTTCCATGCCCCCAAAAATGGCAGGGTCTATGTTAACTGGAGGTTACAGTAATGGATAGGTGGAAAAAGGGGAATTTTAACAAACAGAACATAGTGGCTATTATTGGATGATATGACAGGAATCATGAAATAGGATGATCCGAATTAGTGGTATAATGGTGACCGTCTTTTTTTGTATTTTCTAGTGGGCAAAACAACCCTGACCAGATCTGAGATCTGGGATGAGACTTTTCACTGTGAGACTATGATGCTGGAACAGCAAAATGGGATGGGATATAACTGGGATGTAATGGGATATTACAAGCTTGCACAACTACGGAATTATGGGAATATTGAATAGTGAGATATGATATGATGTATATATATATATATACACTATATACACAAAATATCACATATATAATATACTTTAATATACCATGTATACTCACTACTGTACTTATCAAACCCGGGGATTGGTGCGGTGGAGGTTGAACATCATCTCACTCGCAGTCAGTCCGATGGAGATCGGTCGTTTGGGATGCAAAATATGCAAACTTCGATCCCAAAACAGAATCACTCAGCAATCAATAGAAAACCACATTTTTCCTGTCAGCTTGTCATGTCATCACTGTTTCGAAAGGGTTTCCATATCTCAGAAAAAAACAATCCTTCAACTGGGTTTGTCTGAAAATTGGGTACCCCATCCCATCCACCGTTTAGTTATCATATGTCATCATTTATGATTCTTCACTGTAAAATTGCGATAAGTTGGGGGTCAATCTCCCATTTTCAGACACACCCTTTTATAGTTCTGGTAATATATCCTCTCTTTCTAAATCCCCTCTAAATCCCTATGAAATCCCATTAAAATCCATTAAACATTCATCAAAATCTTGCAGAACTTGAACACTTTTGGATTCAGTCCAAAAAATATTAGATCCACCATTCATTCAACTATCCAAAAAACATCCTTAAATGATACTAAACCCACACTTGTTGCAGATTTCACGACCTCTCCCTGTTTCCCTTGGGGTTTCCCTTGGCGCCGCCGCCTGTTGGCACCCAACATCTTTCCCACCAAGGCAGCAGCTGCCGAGGAGATGCCCATGGCAGGCCTTGTGCGCGATTTCGAGGTGGAGGTGGAGATAATCAGATCTTAGAAATTAGATTTTAATAGGATTTCATGGGATTTTCATGGGATGACATGGCCATTTTCATGAGTTTTTCTTGGATCTTTGGGGGCTGAATGGGATTTTATTGTGATTTAATGGGGTTTTATGACTCAAACATGGCAATTCTAATCAATTTTGCATATCCTCATTTTTCTACCATGTTCTATTGGTGATTCCCAGTTTGTGGAAACAGAACATGAATTGCCAATGGAAAATGGAGGATACCCAAAACTGATGAAACTTGCAGAGAAGGATGGATATTGAACCAATGGTGTGGTTATCACTCATTTTCTATTGGCTATTCTTGGTGTTTGCCACAAGATGGGCTGACACCATTTTTCCCCAACAGCGTAATCTAATGGGGTCTTCAGCCCAGAATAGCTCCAGTGTGCACTGGTGCAGGCGCCGGGTCAGGTTCAACGAGGTTCCGGAGAAGGTTCTGAAGGTTCCGGACAAGGTCTGGGAGGCTTTGGTGCAGAGACAGGTCAGGTTCAACAGGCTTCCGGAGAAGGTTCCGCAAAAGTTTTCTGGAGAAGGTCTGGGAGGCTTTGGTGCGGAGAGGGTTCCGGTGAAGGTCTGGGAGGCTTTGGCGCAGAGTCAGGACAGGTTCAACAGCATTCTGGAGAAGGTTCTGGAGAAGGTCTAGGAGGCTTTGGTGCAAAGCCAGGTGAGGTTCAACAGGGTTCCGAAGAAAGTTCCGGAGATTGTCCAGCGGGAGGCTTTGGTGCGGTGTCAGTCGTTAGAAAAATTCGCCGCCGCCCATGGACGCGCAGCGCCACATACATCCGAACATGCTACATACATCAAGGGATGTGTTTGTATGTACATTTTTCTTTCTTCCCTTCTTTTATCGTTCTTCGACAGGGGCCGCTGCGCTCTCAGAGGAGCTGGTAGAGGTGGAGCTGCTTGAGCTGCTCCCCTTGGCAGGTGCAGCTCTGCTGCCACTGCTCCGGTCGGCCTTAGCCTTCGCCTTCCCTTTCGCCGCTGCTTTGTCTGTCCTTGGCTTCTTGGCAGCCGGTTCTCCCTGCTCTGCTTCCTTCTTCTTCTTCCTTCGCTCGGCGGCTTCTGCCTCCTTAGCTCGTTGGAGGACTTCGTCTGTCTCGAACCAGAGCTCCAGGTCTTCTTCTTTTTGCTTCTGCACCTGTGCGCAATTGCTTTCCGATCGGGCCCTGAAGCTGAAAAAGGTTGTCGTGGAACTTTTGATCGGCCCTTTCTTTTCCCTCCGGGAAATCCAATCTCCGAAAACTTTTGCATCCTGATATCTTTCGTGGCTATAACCCTGAGAATAGAAGAGTTCAGCCTACGTCGTGGCCTCGATACCTTGATGTTAGCAATTCACAAACTGAATCGTATCGAAACATTTTCATGTACTTGCACAAGCCTCCATGCATTGATGCCATAAAGAGGGCTTCTTGGCTGCTGCCTCTTCTTTTGCTTTGTTGGTTCTTGCGTCGAGGTGCCCTGGCGCGCCGACTCGGATCCCGGGGCCAAAACATAGGGGTTCGTGCGTGCAACAATGTGAACAAAGGTAGGGAAGCAGGGCTGAGATGGAAGTATGCAGCGTTATTCTGTGGCCCCGGCTGTCTTCTGCTCATTTTTGTCGCCTGATTCGAGGATTCTTGTCTAGTTCTTTGTCGTAGGCCTTCCTCACCTCAGAGTCCTCGGGCTCCTGACGCAGACTCTCTCTTTTCCATCTTCTTGTCTGCCTTATAAGCCTGGGCACGTTCCGGCTTTTTCTTGTTTTTCTTGTTCTCCTCGGTGCGGCGTTTGTGCTGCTCTTTCAGGCGTGCTCGGTACGCAGCGTCTTCTGCCTTCTCTTTGGCCGCTTCTGCGGCAGCAGCTTCTTCAGCTGCTTTCTTCTGCTCCTTCTTGGCCTTTGCCTGACTGCGCCACTCCGGCAAGGTGCTCCTTTTCCGCTTTGCTTGCTTTTGCCGCCCACTCTTCTTTTGTGCAAAGCCTTGTTGTCTCGTCGATGCTGTACTGGCACCGCCTCCAGGCGTTTTTTGAAGTGGGGGCAAACAAAACTAGAGAGGGGCACTGTTATGAGAATTTTTGCGACTCACACATTGGAAAGCACCATATTTTGGTTTCCTCCTTTAATTAATCCTCATTGAATTCTCATTCTGGAACCTCAAAAGATAATCATCCCTTTTTTCATCCTCAATTAATCCTCATTCTGGAACGTCCAAAAATCTTCATTCCACATCTAAGCCTCATTCTGGAACCTGACCAAATCCTCATTTCTCATGTCATACTCATTCTGGAACCGGACCAGCCTCATTCCTCAGGCAATCCTCATTCTTGAATTTTTGAACATCCGACGCATATTTTTTTTATCCTGGAACCTCACCGAATTTCCATTCCTGCTTGAGTCCTGATTCTGAGATTTCATAAGGCCATCATGCTTTCCGTGCTAATGAATCTTCATTCTACAATCGCATGACATGCTTAATCCTTCTTTACTGATGTAATGAAGATATCTTGGTGATCTCTAATGTGAACACTCAATGAGGACTTCAGCCAGGAGACCAAGCAGGGCTCTGTGAAGATTCAAGCATCGGGAGCTTGATTGTCAGTGATTGCATGCTCATGTTTTCGAAAAAGAAAAGAAAACACAGCATAAAGATGCATAAAGATCTGTCAAAGATTTTCCGAGGATGCCTCAAAGATTGAATGAAGACAGCAAGGAGGATACGGTCATGATCTGCTGCCTCTCCGCGTCCGTGCTGTCACAGAAGGAGAGCCAAGGGTACCTCGGCTCCGACTGTGTTGCCATACAAACCCACCGTGGAAAGCTGATCTCGCACACGCATTATGGCGACCCTACCTCTGCCCCTGCCCCTGCTCCTACTACCTCTGCTATTGCTGCGACTACTGCTGCGCTCCGCTGCCGCTACTGCTCCTACTTCTAGTACTTCTAACTCTCCCACTAATTTTACTTCACTTCTACTACCACCTGACAATTACTACTTATACCACTATCGCAACGAGTAACACGACTATTTCCACTGCTACTGCTACTGCTGCTATGCTTCCCACTGAGGGTCCAGTTTGTGGATCCCTTCTTTGAGCTTGTCCTGCCCTTGGTCCGTCAAGGCCTGGCGGACGGGCTAGCCGTTTGGGCGCATCCCGGGCTTCATTTCTGACACTCGGTCACTGCGGCACCCCACCAAAAAGTCAGATGCTTCTTTTTTTTCAGCTGGCGCATCCCTCTAGGAGTTGTGTGATGCATCTTGGCTATCTCTGTGAGGATACAATGCTGTATTGTGTGAAACTTACATGAGCTTTGAGATGAGCAATTGTCCTGCGCGGGTCGGTTCGATCGGCAATGGTTCAAACTTGAACTTAGTGTCCCCCCAATGAGCGGTCAAAGTTGTCGTCGAAGCCTGCCACCCGGCCACAAGTTCCTTGCCTGCGATTAAGACAAAGCAAGGCATGCATGCCACCCCAACCCGATTATAGCCAGCCTCCTTCAGAGTGACGCGGCATGCCTTCATGCATTCGTTGTGGTAGAGGATTTGGTTCACCCGGCTGGCAGACCATGATCTGCACTGCACGTGGCCAGGTTTGTCAGGCAGCCAGCAGCCACCGGAACAAACGAGGATATGTGTCCACCGCAGCTTGGATGACTTTGCGCACCCGGCAATCACGGCAACACAGGACGGAGAAACGTTCGAACAGCTTCCGGGTGCCTGGCGCATGCGAATATACCATTGGTTCCGACGAAGACCTTACTACATCTCTTCGTTACATGCACAATCAGAAGAATCAATTCTATAGGCAGTCCTTTACATAAATAAATAAATAAATAAATAAATAAATATATGAGGATATATACTGTAAACACATACACAGTATATAAAAAAACTTAAAAACACCTATCATCATACTATATTGTGGGTATATACATACATAGGCACATACATAAGTATATATATATATAGCGACACACTGAAACTTAGAATGCTGAGCAGTTTTCCAAAATTGAGATTTTTGAATTTAGAATGCCGCCAAAAACCCTGTTTGTAGGGTATTTTAGAATGCCGGCCAGGGGACATTCTAAGTTTCAGTGTGTCGATGCATCAAACCACAGTATTGCCATACAAAATGCATATTTTAGGTAAAAGAAGGCATGCTAAGTTCTCTCCGGCCGGCGTGTTTTGCGCAAAAGGGTACCCAAAAAACAGCACACAGAAAAATAACCCTGTTTGAAGCACATATGCAACGAAAATTGCAATTCACTGCATATTTACAGGGTTTTGTGAACACTCAGTCTCCAAGACACCTCAAGACAGGTTTCCCTTTTCTTTCAAAATTGTCTCTTATTTCTTTCCCCATTAAAGATGGAAAACTCGAAAAACAGGTGCAAAAAGTCCCCGGCCAAAAGTAATTTAGAATGCTGGCAAAATTGTCTTCGGTTTTCCGTTGTTTTTCATTGTTCCTTCTTTAGTTTTTCTATGGTTCTCATTGTGTTTTTCACTAGTTTTTTCTTTGATATTTCTTTGGTTCTCAATAATTTACATGCGTTGTTCTTTGCTTGTCATTGTTTCCTTTCGCTTGTTTTCGATTCCCGTGGTTTTTGGTTTTCCTTTAGTTGTTCTTTTGATTTTCTTTCTTGTTCATTCGTTTTTCTTTGGTTTTTCTGTGGTTTTCTTTGGTTATCTTTGGTAATCACTTGTTTTTCATTATTTCCCCAACAGCGTAAGCTAAGGGGGTCTTCAGCCCAGAATAGCTCCGGTGTGCACTGGTGCAGGCGCCGGGTCAGGTTCAACGAGGTTCCGGAGAAGGTTCTGGAGAAGGTCTGGGAAACAGGGTTCCGGAGAAGGTTCTGGAGAAGGTTCCGGAGAAGGTCTGGGAGGCTTTGGTGCAAAGCCAAGTCAGGTTCAACAGGTTTCCGAAGAAGGTTCCGGAGCAGGTCTGCGAGGCTTTGGTGCAGAGCCAGGTCAGGTTCAACAGGGTTCCGGTTCCGGAGAAGGTTCCGGAGCAGGTCTGCGAGGCTTTGGTGCAGAGCCAGGTCAGGTTCAACGGGTTCCGGAGAAAGGTTGCGCAGAAGGTCCCGGAGAAGGTTTTGGGAATCTTTGGTGCAGGGCCAGGTCAGGTTCAACGGGTTCCGGAGAAGGTTCCGGAGAAGTTTGTTTTTCTTCTTTTTGTTTTTCGAAAATGTTTGTAAAAATAAAATGCTGCGGCTGTTGGGGATACCACCGAAGCTGATTTTTTCCATATATTTTCTGGGATGGGAGATACTCAAGAATATGACATGGCTTTGTATCAAGCAATGGAGCCCCAACACAAATCATCTCACAGTGAGAACAGCCAGCATTTTTTTGGGATATCATCCCTTGGGTGGCTGACATGTTCCTGTGGAGCTACCCTCCAGCACAAAAAGAAGGCAAATGAGAAGTGAAAACCTTCTCTTGAAAAGGCTTTATGATGGGGTTATGACTCATCAATCATGAGCTTGTCTAGATTTTGAAATTACAACATGCTACATCCAAAGTTAGAAGGGTAATCTTGGAATATCTTGGATAGCCCTTGACCTGCCGGGGCACATGAAGGTAAGCGCAATGAACTGATTGGCAGCGACATGGGCGGCTAAGGGAACGGTGCCCAAGAAACCCACCAGCAATGCACAGATCTCCCAGAACCACCATTCACTACCTGAGAGCTTCGGCGGATGGTGGATTTCAGAGCTTCCAAAGGATTGAGAACAGCGAAGCGGTGGAAGTGATGATGATGATGATGATGGTGGTGGTGGTGATGATGATGATGATGCTGGTGATGATGATGATGCTGATGATAATGATGATGATGATGGTGATGATGATGATGATGATGAAACATGATGACACATGATGAAACATGATGAAACATGATGAAACATGATAAACATGATGAACCACTTTTAGGAAACTGCATGGAAACCCATGAACACATTCATGGCAAATCATCATATTTTATCATAAGGGGTTTGTCTGAAAATCATAATTTTACCCTAAACCCAATGGTGAATCCTCATATTTTCCCATCATTTTCCCTAAGAAATGATGATACTTTGGGGGGAGCATACCCCATTTCCACCAGTGACCAGACACCCATCTGCAGCACGCAGGGAATGGCCACCTTCAAGTAGGACTTCCAGGAGTTGAAGGTGCCGGGGCCTGCTGGGAGTCCGGGATCATGGGACCATCCTGGCTATGACATATAAATCTATATAGAATTCTATGAATATATTTGAAGTGTCTGTAAAATTCTAATATATATATATTATCTATATTATATATGGATAGAAACAAATTATCTGCATACCATGCTTTATACTGTACCAAGATCTGAGATGTCCTGTGGAGAAAGATAACTAATGATCCTAAGGTCGATCCAGACCGGCCTGGAAGCCACACGTCGCGACGCTTCATGCCCAGCTTGGGAGCGATGCGTGTCACGTACAGCGCGATCAACAGCCATTGACCTGAGGCTGTGGCTTGAAGATCCCCAAAACGGTAGACAAGTTGCCACTTAGGTTGACCCAATACCCAGATACCCAGGATATAGCTCACCTGGCGGGTGCAAGTTTCCGGTGAAATTTTTTTATGGTTCAGACTATAGCAGTTCCCCAAAAAAGATAGACAAGCAACCTATCACCATTCTTAGATGTTATTTATTGTTATTTTTTCACGACTTTTCTTCATTTTCTTGGTTGCAAATATTCTGGGTAAATTATAGTATTTCACTAACCTGAATAAAGGCCATTTGGGGATGATTTCCCTTACTAACCATGATTCCAGGCTTCGGTCACAGTGAGGTCGTTAAATTTACCCAGAAAACCAAGCGACAGGTCCAGGTCACACCATTGGCTAATCCGGCTCCACTGTTGCCGAGCTGAAAATGGAGAACGAACAGACCACCTCGCGCAGAAAGACTAAGTGCTGAAAAAAAAGAATCATAAATATGGCCATTCACATGATGTTCATCATTTTTTTAAGTAATCATATAATATCATCTATATATATATATGATTTAGAATCATACATTGGCAGATTTTTGTCCTTGTCTCTTTTATCACTACTATATGTACAATCCCCTCAACGCCAACAGCTCGACCATCGAATCTCTCCGGGTTCCCATTTCACGAGACCTTGGAATCCTTGGAGCCATATATTGATAGCTCAACCACTCAACCCACAACTATGCAGCTCTATGGTTGAGAATCCACTGGCCTAATGGATTTCAGGAATCCAACGCACCCAACTCAGCTGATTTCTGGAGACGCCATCCCCACTTTTTCGACATCCCCACTATCAAAAAGTCAGCAACGTCGAGATGATGCAAGGCTTGCAAGGCACACCAGCCAACATGTAGGATGGATGAGATGATATTGATCACCAGTGGTGGAGTTGCAATGCATTGATTTTGCAGGAACTTCGCCAGAGCCTGCGTTCGGAGCGACATGCCGAAGATTTTTGTTTCCCATTTCTCACCCCACTCCAGTCCAAATCACCTCCGCTCCGCCCCAGCATCACATCACATCATCAGCACGTCGTGCCTAACCTTCGATCTCCGACCGAAACGCTTCACTTTTCAAAGGGCATCACCACTTCTCCATCGAAAACAAAGCAACAAAACCTCCGATTCACCTCCAATTCAGCTCTAGTTGACCCAGGGAGACCCAGGGCATCCCCCAGCTTTCGACACGCCGCGCCTGGTATTGGAAGAGGCAGAAGAGCGCCGGGGCTGTGGTGCGGTTGTAATTCGCCGCCAGCTGTGCGACTTCGGCGTTCTGACCCAGCAGCAGCAGCAGCTGTGCTGAGCAGAGGAGGATGGGAATGATCCACCTGAGGTGTGGCTTGGGTGGGTATATGTAGTAAAACTACGTCAAATATGGTAGAACTTCTAAAAGATCTTGAAGAATTACATGATGTAGTTGGTTTATGCTTTCCATCAGTTGGGTAATTATCGTTAAATGATCTTAAATGAGTAGACGGCTCTCACCAAGATGGTTTTTCAACACAAAAACGCACGAGGAGGCGACTTTTGCTCCAGGACGACACGGATGCCTCAAGTTTTCCACATCACAAAACTGTCAGAAAAAATAAACAATCACCCACACCAAACATATTCTACGATATCATCATAGGCAATACTATCTAGCATTCAAACATGTCTTGTTGAAAAATCCCATTCAATTCGATGATTTTCCCATTACAGCCTCCATTTATTGAACATGTCCCAGCCTGCCTTGCTATGTTTGATTACCGAAGGGTGGTATCACGATAGGTTTATCTTATCTATATAAGTAAAATCAACCCATATTGATTCCCATTCATAGAACATATTCCAGCCTCCTGTGTTTGATGGGTGTGTCTGAAGATGCTGTATACCCCCAACATTTTTTGTTAATAGGGAGAATGATGTATACTATTCTCAGACAAACCCAAATCAAACACCAACTTTGGTTTTACCTCGAACAATTTCTATGAACATGTGTCCATATTCCTGGCCAGTCATGTTTGATTGCCACATGGTACCCTCTGGCAATCAAACCATGGCAAGTTTGATGATTTTCCCAGCTAGAAACCTCCCAGCTTACAAGGGATTTTTTTCCCAGCTGGCCATATGTTTGATTCCCAAATGGTAAATAAACCAATTAAACATTGGGATTTATAGAATCATAAATGAAATGAATGGGAATTATTTCCCCAAATCGTAAATCCACCATTTAGTTCGACGATTTTCCCATTCAACTTTCCATTTAGTTCGGGGAATTCCCAGCTAGCCATGTCTGATTTTCATACCCAATGGTAAATCAGAAATTCGTCTTTCGTTCCCTCTGAAATTCCAAAAAAATGGGAGAAATCAATCCATCCAGCCCATTTTGTTGGACTCAGCCTAGCTATAGCTGGAGACTCCAAATGGCTACCCGGCTTGTGGCTGCCAAGGATCACCAGCTGCAAGGTGGCAATGAAGCGTCCGCGCTGGAAATGCTCACAGGCCACGTCCTGGAGCTGGGAAAAGCTGCCAAAGTCCACAGGTTTCACCCGGGCTTCACCAGTCACCATGGGAAAAGCAGGGGACCGACTCGTAAAATCGTGGTAAGACCTACAGACCTCTAGATTTTCCGTTCAAAAAATAGAAACATATAAAAAGATATAAAACGATGCTCCAAATGAAAACCCGACGTATACAGTAAATAGTAAATATGTCAGCGCAGAAAAGGCTGGTGAAATGTCGCCCATTTTTTTGCGATGGGGATAAACAAGAACTGAAGGTTTAGCCGACAATGGGGGATTCAAACAGCAATGATAGGATTTTTATGGATTTTCATCCATCAAAAATCATCATCTCATTTTCGGAGGTTGGGCATGGCAACATCTCTCAAACAGAAGCAAACGTCCGAACTGTCCCCACAACAAATATACGACTATATACCCCCTGGAACACCCTGGGACTCTCTTGAATCACGAATTGGCTTGGCAATTTTAAAATATTTTAAATACACTCTTTCATTTTTTCAGCATCGAAACCCAATCATATGCAAACAATCTATCACTTCAAGAATCGCAGAACAAAAGTGACAAACACAGACAGAACAAATGAATACATCGCACCAACAAATCTCAAACATCTTTTTGGGGTCCCATCTTTCCATAGAAAAATCCGCAGAGCCTGACTCCCAGCACCATAGGCTTGGCTCACCAGGGAATCTAAGGCTGCCAGCAATCCCCAGCCGATGCTCAAACCCAAACCTGGGGATTGTCCCAGGAATTTGCTGGTAATCTAGACAACCAAACTTGGAGTAACCATGGGAAAGCCACGAAGAATTGGGGTTTAAATTCAACATGAATCAAAATTTCCTCCGAAATCCAGAAAAATTGGTGATGGGGTGAACTTGACTTAACTGTCATAGAATGGGAAATTTGCCGATAGGACTTGGGAAAAAAATGGGAGCTGGTGCACTGGTGGACTCCAAGAACCCACGTTATCCAACACTGGATTTCTGGTTGGTGGTTGAGCCACCTGAAAAATATGAGTCAGTTGGGATTATGACATTCCCCATATGTGAAAAAGTAATCCAAATGTTCCAAACCACCGTTAAACCACCAACCAGGTATTATATTTAAACGTACACTTTCAGCCTTTCAGCCAGAAGTCACCAAGCTGTGGATCGTTTTAGGGATACCTTGGGACATAATTCTTGGGTTTCAACCATGGGTAGACCTAGGTCGACCTATCATGATCCCAATGTGCCCTATGCCGGTCGAATGTCAAAGCACAGTTCTGCATCATGTTTCCCAGACCCACGGCTGCCAATGATCCCGCGCTGCTGCTCTTGCCCAGCCTTGGAGTCATGAAGTCCAACTTTCTGGGTGCTTTATGGTTGATAGCTACTACCCTTTGGTAACCATACAAACAACTGTGGGAATCCATTGTTTTCCCTGTTGGACTCTGTAAGGTGGTTTCCCCCGTTAGCGTTCAGTTGGGGGCCACAGAACTCCAATTTCACTCTGGTCCTATGGTTTTTGTTGGTGATATATCTACAATAACTATGGCAACTATATCCAATTTAACTATGGGTTTTTGTTGGTGATATTAATCGAACTTGGACCAATAACTATATATATTTAACATTATTTAACTATGGTTTTTGTTGGTGATATATCCAATTTAACTATGGTTTTATGGTGATATTAATCGAACTTTATGGTTTATATCCAGTTTAACTAATGTTTTCATTGACTTTATAAACTAACATAACGAACGCCCCGGGGGCACCACATCCCCAGGGGCGATTTCATCCACCACGGCCCCGCTGGGGGCCCCTGGGGCCCCTGCATGATGACGTTGGTCTGTTCGTTTGCCCTTGGTCACTTGGGACTTCACCGTAATATTTTGCAGGAAAAATGTGTGTGTATATCTATATATACATAGAACATATGCCTATGTATATAGTATATATATAGTATATATATATAGTATATATATATAGTATATATATATAGTATATATATAGTATATATATAGTATATTATATATATATGATGAATAATAGGCGACATATACTATGAGATAAATTATATATAAACATCATCTACTTTCAAGTCCTCGAGTTTTGTAGGAATCACCAGGTGATCCTGTCCCAAAGGTTTCTTCAACCCATCCCAGCTGGGAAACCCCGCATCACTGCAGCAATCTGAACATATCTGAAACTGACCAGGAGATATGAAAATCAATCAGAATCAAACAAGGGTAATGATACAACAGAAACATATCATTTACTGTCATTTACCATATTATAACATTTACCATATCATATCATAATCTGAAACTTATCAGCAACAGAAAAGCAGTTTCACCAAGTCGTTTTTTGTTTCTTTTAAACATATTGTCATGTCTTTGTTAGGCCTGACATCAGGAGCAAGTGGCAATGTCAGAACGAGTGCACCCATGTTGGGCAACGCAATTCGCAAGACCTTTCTGCGAGACAATGCTTTTTTTGGAAGGTGGATATTCCAACAACGATCTCCAACGGTCGCCAACTCGAGAACGCAACAAAATCTCTCAGGTTTAGTGTACAAGTTGTCCAAGAGAGTCAAGAAGCACAAGAGTGTGCAGTGAGGCTCACCCACACAAAGCAATTTCTTGACAGGAAAAGACAGCAAAAACATATCTATTCTACTAGCTTGATACAGACTCTAAAGACGCACACATGAATGTGCATTGCCCCCGCACCTGTTTGGTAGCTTGCTGCCAATTGGCGGGAATATCTCCTAAACAGATTCAAGGATCAGACAACGCTTCGTTTCATCCATTCCTTCTTTCAAACCAATGGATCTTTAGTCTAAGGCATCCCACCTCAACCAGAAGGAATGGGGAAGTACCAGTGCGAAGCCAACATACAAAGCCTTCACAAACACCTGGGTTAACCACGAATCACACTTCCAAGCTTTGAAGTTTATCAAAAACAATGCAGGTGTGGGACGGTCTCTAACAAATCCATACTCTCCGGCAAAACAATCCGCGGCGGAAAATTGACCATTTACAGATGAATTACCTATGAACATCATGGTGATTTTCCAGTTCGCTATGTTAAATTACTATAGTGTTATAGTGCTATGGCAGTGTGTCAAAACCTTGTACCCCTGGTGAACATCAAAATAGCTGGTAAATGGATGTTCATCCCCCTAAAAATGGTATGTATAGGTATTGATCCATAGCCCTATAGTGTTATCATAAACTTTACTAAGCTTCTGGAGGCTGGAGCTAGTTCCAACTAGTGCTTCTCCTCACCAAAAAGCGTGCTTTTCCATCGCGACAGCGCAACTCTTTGGAGCGGTGGCGCAAGGTGCCATGCATGGTATTCTTAGCATTTCTTATCTAACATAGATTTACAAAACCATGTATATAAAATATGTAAAAATCAACTTAAAACAGAATAAGGAATAATGTGTATAGGTCTGTGCATGTATATAATATATATATATATAGTAACTACATTTAAATATACGGACTTTTAAATATACGAACAGGTATTTAGACTACCTCCGGGAAGGTTTTCCTTGGCCCGCCCGGCCATTTGAACACACGGAATCCAATTCATTTAAGCATACGGCAACTACATTTAAATATACGAACTTGTATTTCATACTACCTCCGGGGCCTCGCGGTCTGGCCCGCCCCCCACATATTCAAATGTCGTTACGTATAAATAAACATCCTACTATGGTTTTTTTCTGAAAATATACCCATTGTACCTTCAATTTAGTACCCATGGTACCTCCAATTTAGATGATAAAAATCTTATCATTCTTTACTCACGAAGTAAGACCTGCACTTAAGACTATGAACACTGATTGGCACAGCTGTTCGTTCAAGATTTGGATTATACTTCCAACCAATTGTCAAACTTTGCAAATTGCTGGGCAAGGTCACTTGCTCAAGGCTTTGGTCGAATTCTGAACCAAGCGTCAAGCTTTGTAAGTTGCTTGGAAAGGTCACTCGATCAAGGCTTTGATTAAACTCTGAACCAAACGTCAAACTTCGCAAATTGCTTGGCAAGGTAATTCGTTCAAGGTCTTCGTTGAAATTTTGACCAAACGTCAAGCTTTGCAAGTTGCTGGGCAAGGTCACTCGTTCAAGGATTGCATCAAAATCCGAATCCAACATCAGGCTTTGCAAGTTGATCGGCAAGGTCACTAGTTCAAGGCTTTGGTTGAACTTCCAACCAAACGTCAAGCTTTGCAAACTGCTCGGCAAGGTCACCCTTTCAAGGCTTTGATTAAACTCTGAACCAAACGCCAAGCTTTGCAGGTTGCTCGGCAAGGTCACTCGTTCAAGGCTTTGGTTGAATTGAAAACCAAGCGTCAAGCTTTGCAAACTGCTTGGCAAGGTCACTCGTTCAAGGCTTTGATTAAACGCTGACCCAAACTTCAGGCTTTGCAAGTTCATTGGCAAGGTCACTAAATCAAGGCTTTGGTTGAATTTCGAACCAAGCGTCAAGCTTTGCAATTTGCTTGGCAAGGTCACTCGTTCAAGGCTCTGATTAAATGCTGACCCAAACGTCAAACTTTGCAAGTTGCTGGGGAAGGTCACTCGTTCAAGGCTTTGATCAAACGCTGTCCCAAACGTCAGGCTTTGCAAGTTCATTGGCAAGGTCACTAAATCAAGGCTTTGGTTGAATTTAATACCAAGCGTCAAGCATTCCAAGTTTCTCGGCAAGGTCACTTGTTCAAGGCTTTGGTTGAACATCCGACCAAACGTCAAGCTTTGCAAACTGCTCGGCAAGGTCACCCTTTCAAGGCTTTGATTAAACTCTGAACCAAACGTCAAGCTTTGTAAGTTGCTTGGAAAGGCCACTCGATCAAGGCTTTGATTAAACTCTGAACCAAACGTCAAACTTCGCAAACTGCTTGGCAAGGTCACTCGTTCAAGGCTTTGATTAAACGCTGACCCAAACGCCAGGCTTTGCAAGTTCATTGGCAAGGTCACTAAATCAAGGCTTTGGTTAAAGAACGGACCGAACGTCAAGCTGTGCAATTTGCTTGGTAAGGTCACTCGTTCAAGGCTTTGGTTGGATTTATAACCAAGCGTCAAGCTTTGCAGGTTGCTCGGCAAGGTCACTAGCTCAAGGCTTTGGTCGAATTCTGAAAGCGAAAACGACAAGCTTTGCAAATTGCTGGGCAAGGTCACTCGTTCAAGGCTTTGATTAAACTCTGAACCAAACGTCAAACTTCGCAAATTGCTCGGCAAGGTCACTCGTTCAAGGCTTTGATTAAACTCTGAACCAAACGTCAAACTTCGCAAATTGCTCGGCAAGGTCACTCGTTCAAGGCTTTGGTTGAATTTAATACCAAGCGTCAAGCATTCCAAGTTTCTCGGCAAGGTCACTTGTTCAAGGCTTTGGTTGAACTCCGAACCAATAGTTAAGCGTTTCAGGCTTTGGGGGAGCTGGCTGTAGTTTCCACAAGAGTACCAACCTTCTTTAATCTCTGTCACCCCTTCCAACGCAAACTCTTCCTCGGAGACTTGGAATCCTTGGAGATAACTCCAAGCCGCAGATAAGTCTGTGGGAACATAAGTGCAGGACAGTTGCGTCGTCCCTTCAATGCCTTGCTCCTGCAATGTTTGGTGGAGCATCAAGGGTGAAGTTTCTTGGTGGTACAAGGCCAGCTTTCCTCCGTCCTTTGCCGGAAGTTGCTGGGAGACCATCTTCCGTACTTCCCTTCCCAGAGTGTTTGGGCTGACTCTCAGGACGCAGCCGGTCTCACCGTTGAGGCTGGAGATCACCTGGAGATCAATCAGCTCCTGAATGGCGCTCCCATCCCCAAGCCGTTGTCGCCGTTGTCGCCAAAGCGGCCGCCCTGGCCACCAAGGCCAGCAAGGCCAGCAACAACATGCTGACTGTGGTGGAATCAGTCTGGCGCTGTCCATTGATCTCCGCTATGAGAAGCCTAGGATCGCCACAAGAAAATGATCATCACTGAATATCACTGATGTGGATATTGGTCCAAAAATATCAAAAACCACTGGCCCCGTGAAAACACGCCCCCGAGGGTGTGCTGGTTTACCTCTTTTCAGTGTGAACTTTCTTTGGTTCCTTGGTTGGGAAGGCTTGAGACTTTCATCCTGCGGCCCTTCATGGTAGTCACCCTATGCTCAACTTGAAGTATGATGCATCCGAGCCCTGACAATCTGACAAAACCTCGGGATTAAATCTACGACAGACAGCGTGATTCAACCGACCCCCGACCTGGAATGGGCTTCCTGTACATGGAAGTCTGTGGATTGACTGCCAATGGCTGGGAATTTGTCATGCCATAATGTCTTCCAAACCCATCTTCTACCGTGCAGAACCTTAAAGCACTGATGACTGGGGATTGTGAAGGTTGTGAACTCATTGATCCTACTTCCGACCTGGAACTGAGCTGATGTCCTCCTACTTCTCTACTTCTGATTTGGAATCCCTATATGGCATGGAATGTTAAAAAAGGAACTTCACACTCAACAATCAATCATATAAACCCTTCAAAGTAACACCGTCTGACGGGCAACATGGCCTTACTATATAATGGGGTTACAAACTCACCCTACAAGGTGGTGCCCCCTAGTTACAAGGTGGCTTATTTGCCCATCTACAGTAACTATAGATGACTATAATATACTATAGTGAACATAATCACCCAACAGTAGATTCTAGTGGTAGAGATAAACTGAGATAAACCAACTTCTTGCTACTCCATGGCACCATGCAATCTCTACCACGTTGTTGGTTCGGTATATCCCCAGAAATCCTCAGTTTTCGATAGAACATATTTCTGGGCTTTCCCGGCCTGGTAAGCATACAAAAAAACCATGGAACATCACCATTTTTGATGGGTAAATCAACTATGACTCAATGGCCATTTTCAATAGTCATGTAACAAATTACCAGAGGGTATTTCATAACAATAGTTGGTATATAAATCCCATGAACTAGTTCGTTATATCTACCTTAAACCATAGTTTTCTATCGTTTTCAAGGGTGATCCCATGTTTCCACCGGTTTCATGGCATCTGACAGTCGTCTCCTGTTGTCGAAACCAGGTCTTCCGTCCGTCGCGGGAGCCGCGACAAGACATGCCGCGGCGGCAGTGGCCGGATCCTGAACACAGATTCCACATATGATGAGTCAATGATGAGGTTTTATGAGTATTCATATGCATATATATATACACGTAATTGTATATACACAGAAGTAAGTATGTATATACATAATTGTATATACACATAATTGTATATATATATATATTGTGAATTTCATCACTGCAGTTCATGTCACCACAGGACCACATCGACATTTCCAATTGCAATGCCCAGACTGGTATTCAAGTGAATCATCAACTTTGTTTTTCTTCTCAAAAGCACTTTGAGGCTCAGGACAGCCCACTTATTCCAAGGTGAGGGTAGGGAGGGATTCAACCGTGCTTGCCGCCATATCTGGGCATACGGAAGGACGTGGACGTCCGGAAACATAGGCCAGGGAGCCTTCTTTGCCTGATAGGCCTTCTTGCTGGGCCGAATCCAATCCTTCAACCTGGAAGGTGCGCATAGCAACCTTGAGCAGAGGCGCTTGGGAAAAGGCGCGACGCGGAGGTGCTGCCAGTGGGATTGGTGCTTTACCAATCACACTGGTAGCGGAGCACCGCTGCTACCACAACAGTTTTGTTTTGATTTCACTTGAAGCGGATATCCAGGAGACCTTTGGACATTGAGTGTACAGATTGAAGATGTCAGAGCCCTCCACGGAGACCAGTGGAACCGTACCGAATCAGCTAGCAATTTTAGTGCCCTCTTTCGATCCCAGTAAGGATGATTTGCAGGTGTACACCCAAAAGGTCGAGTTGTTGTTGACGGCATGGCCTCCAGGGAAATACACCGAGTTAGCTACTCGCCTCATCTTGAACTGCAGTGGGTCAGCTTTCAAGAAACTCCAGCTACACCAAGAGGAGGTGACCAAGAACGATGCCAAATCCATCCAGAGAATCATCGAAATTCTGGGGGGACATTGGGGACAGATTGCCCTCGAACAAAAATACGAGTTTGCTGAGCGGGCGATTTTCCGCTGCCAACAGAAATCTGATGAAAGTGCCGACTCTTACCTAGCAAGAGCCGATATCATGTGGACAGAGCTGACCAACAAGGCCTTGAAACTGAGTGATTTGCAGGCATACATTACTCTGAGAGGTTCAACACTGAATGCAGAGGACAAAAAACGTGTGCTGGTTGATGCAGATATCTCAGATCAGGGTGAGCTCACCGTCAAGAGGGTGGCAGCCGCCATCCGCATGTTAGGAGCTGGGTTTTTTCATGAGATGACGCATGGAAAAAGGAATACCAAGCTGAAAACATATGACCAAGCCTTGCTAGTGGCCGAGTCCATGGATGTCGAAGAGCCCGAGAGTCTAACCTTCGCAACCGACGCGATGGATGATGATGAGGTCTCATTAGACACCTTGATCCAGGACGGGGATGAAGATGCAGCCTTAGTCTCGGATTTCGAGACAGCAGCCACAGACTTGGTGCAATCCGACGAAGAGTTAGCAGCAGCCTTCACAGCGTACACAGACGCGAGGAGGAGATTGAACGAAAAAGTGAGATCTCGGGGTTTTTGGCCAATTCAGGCCAAAGGCAAGTCAAAGGGTTTTCAGAAAGGAACCAAGGGAAAGTTCAGCAAAGGTCACATGTCATCACGAAAGTCTCTGCAACAGAGGATTCTGGAAAGCCGATGCCGCATATGCGGCAAACAAGGCCACTGGAAAGCCGAGTGTCCGAACAAAGGAGACACCTCAGCCAGCAGTGCCCGACCACCACAGGCACCAACGTCCTTTGCCCATGGAGGAGATGCATCCGTAGGTGAACATGAACCTGATGCCTTGCCGCTTGAGTTTCTGCAGTTACCCGTTGCCATGCAGTCCACGATTGATGAGTCTCAGCCTGTCCAGTGCCATGAAGTTTTTGTAACATCCCATGCAATTAATCCCAAGGAACAGCTATCCAAAACGTTGAGTAGATGGCAGCAGTCTAGTCAACCCATGACCGTCCCGGCCAGGAATGATGAAGCCATCCAAGTGATTCGAGATCGCCTCCGCCGAGCAATCCATGCACATGCAGATGCCAAGATGCCGAAAGCCTCTGAGTGTGAGATTGCCTGTTTTGCCACGCATGGAAGTTTTGGGGTTGTTGACTTAGGGGCTACAAAGACAGTAATTGGTAGTCAGAAAGTAAGTGAACTCATCAATAGCCTGCATCCCGAAGTCAGGAAGAACATATCCAGGTGTCCATGTCAGGTGTCTTTCAGGTTTGGAAATCACGGTGTGCTCCAAAGCCAACAAGCCTTGGTAGTGCCCATCCATGGTTTGCGTTTGAAGATAGCGATCGTGCCGGGTGAAACACCATTCCTTTTATCCAACACCTTGCTTCGTGCTATTGGCGCCATCATAGATACTGAACGTAAAGTTTTGAAGTCCACTCTCATGAAAAGGGAGATTCCACTCACATTAACCAGCAAGGGGTTGTTTTTGCTTGATTTAAATGAGCTGGCCCATCATGAGAGTGAGCAAGCGAATTTTTCCAATGCAGCCGAAACCCACACTGCCATGTGTGATGCCCTTCCGCCGACCGAGAGAGTGGAAAGTTTGCCTGAAGGACTGTGCCAGAATGTTGCCAACGCCAACAACCACAATCCCATGCCTGATCCACATGAAACATTGAAACTTCCTGAGAACAATCACCATTCCAGAACTGATGATCAACATGCACATCAAGTAACCACCCATCCAATCAAGACAGGTTCAAGTGAGCCACCCAAGCAGTCGCCCAGGTCCAAGTGCCAATTACCAGGTATCGCAATCGATCACGGTGATAGCCATGTCGCTGTCCAAGAGGCTCCAACAGGTGCAGGAGATCAAAACACCTGCGCCTTTGGACTTCTCCCAGTGGTCCTTGGCAGACCTCGAGGAGTCCAAGATCGACTTTGGCAAACAACAGCTCGGCAAGAAGTATCGTCAGGTGTGGGAGGAGGAACAACACTGGGTGAAGTGGTTCGTCCAGCACTACGAGACATCCACGAAGATGGAGCATCAAAAGTTCATCCACTTCGTCAACCTGAAGGTGGAACGAGCCGAGAACAGTGGCCAGACGGTGCCAGTGACCCTTCCCATGGAAGTTCCCAAGAATGTGCCGAGGAGCGTGATCATGACCAAGGCCAAAGCCAAGAGCCAGACACGTCCACAGTCACCAGGACGCCCATGCCCGTGGGACGATGTGGAAGACCACAGTGTCTTCACTCTGATCGAGGACAACACCGAGAACCAGGTGAACGAGCCAGCGGGGGAAGACATGTACCCTGCCAGCCCACTGGAGATCCGAGTGATGCAGATCGAGAACGCTCTGGCCCGAGTGATGAACTTTCTGGAGCAGAACCATGCAGCTCAGCAGCCCGAACTGAACTGAGAGGATCCGAGTGCCCAAGTGTTCAAGCCAGTCGGGACGCCGGCGACCCAAGTGCGGACTGCATGATTTCAGAAGACATGTCTCCCGAAACCAACCGAGAAAAACAAATGTTCCATAGATGGGTGAATCAATACACAGAAGAACTTGATATCCTCATTCAACAACATGTCCATCAAGGAAAGTTTTCTCAGCGGATTGATGTGATGGAGATCTTTTGTGGAGAACATAGTCAACTTACCCATCAATGCAATCAACTTGGTTTCAAAGCTGAACGTTTCGGGTATGCCCAAGGGGACTTGCAAACCTCGGTTGGTAGACAAAGTCTGTTCCAGAGGTTGGCTCAGTGCCGACCGAGACATGTCTGGGTGAGTCCATCATGCGGACCATGGAGTGGGTTCTCCACTCTAAACGGAAGCCGTTCCATTGCAGCTTGGGACGAACTGCAGGCACTACGTCACCAACACCTGAGCCAGGTAGCCCTTTGTGTTGTGATTTTCCGATTTCAAAGGAGTCAGAGGAACCATTTTCACTGGGAACAACCACGGGGATCCCTCATGTTTAAGCTTCCATATCTACAAGAGGTCTTCTATTACCTATTGGCAACAGACGTGGATCTATGCACTGCGGGAGACATGCGCGATCCCACAAACGGCAAACACATTCGAAAGACTTTGACCATTCTCACCTCATCAAAACAGATGGTACAACAGTTATCCATGCATCGATGTTCAGGTCAACATGAACATCAGGTCATAGAAGGTCAAGTCAAAGTATCAGGTGAAACCATGAACAGATCCAGATACACCGAAAATTACCCTCGGAAGTTTGCCCGAAAACTAGCCATCATGATGTGCAAAGTCAAAACCATGAAGGAGGGGATCCATCAGCCCCCTGAATTTCCTGTGCTTGCAGCAGAACACCCAAGTGAGCCAGCCAGAAAGCGAATGCGTCTTTGTCAGACGTACCGTCCTAAGGTCAGCCGCGCCAGGGGTGTCGAGACTCTCCAGTGGGGTAAGCGCCGAAAGTGTACAGGTAAAACCCAGACAGTGGACACCTCCCAAGCATGGAAAATAATCTTTGACAAAGTCAATGAGATTCTCCCCAGGGTTGGTAAGGTAGTCATGAATGAACCCGAAATCATGAGCCGCCTGAAAGATCTCATCCAAGACAAGAGCATCAAACATGTCGTTGCCTGTCGTGGTTCCAGTAGGACTTTGGCCCCACCCGACCATGTGATCAAAGGGGAGTCACCATACCGCAAGAGCATATTCACTGCACGTGGCACAGGGGAGATCAAGGCAGAGGAGGATTGGGAAAACTGGGAAACACTTGCAAAACGAAACTTAATTCGACCATCTCATGAATGTCGCATTAACATCACAGTGTTTGCCAGTGAATTCAACAGTGCAAGTTCCGAAACCCTGGTTCGGCAACCGGCCGAATCTGCAGATGCCACTCCGATCCAAACCCGACCGGGTGACCCGGGGCCAGCCAATTCAGAAAACCTGCAACCTGGGAAGGACGAAGTTCCAGACCCAGACATTGATGTTCCCGAGCCCAAAGCCTCTGAGACTTTTGTGGAAGGCCTGACACCTTCTCAATTGCACGACCTCCGAAGCTCCAGCCAAAGCAACCGGTTCAAGGAGTTATCCCCAGAAGAAAGATCAATGATAATCCGGGCTCATAAGAATTTAGGTCACCCAAGCCCTGAACGCTTAAGCACCATGCTTAGATCTCAGGGGTATCGTGCAGAGATAGCCAAGGCCGCACTCGAGCTGAAATGCTCAGTGTGCAAATCCCAAGCGCAGCCGCGCCTTGCACGACCGGGCACCATTAAAGATGAGCTGGATTTCAACGATCGAATCTGCATAGATGGCCTCCAATGGACCAACCGCCATGGACAAAACTTTCATGTTTATCACATTGTAGATTGGGCCACAAGTTTTCAGACCGCATGTTGCGCGCCTGACCGAACCACGAATGCAGCCATTCAGGGATTATTTCAAATGTGGTTTTCATGGGCTGGGGCACCAAGTGAGATGATTGTTGACGCAGCTACGGAATTCAACTCTGACGAATTTCAGAACTTTTCACAATCTCATAACATCAAGGTAACTACCATCAGTATTGAAGCTCAGTTCCAAAACGGCAAAGCCGAGAGACATGGAAGCATTCTCAAAACAATGCTTTCCAAGTATGAAGCCGAACACACTATCAACAACTACAAAGAGCTACAGGAGGCATTGTGGTGGTGCACACAAGCCAAAAACTCATGTGGCCTCAGAAAAGGGTATGCTCCGGAAGTTTTGGTTTTGGGTAAACACACAAGGATTCCAGGGGCTATTAGCAGTGACGAATTGTTACCAGCTCACCTTTTGGCTGATTCCGAGACAGCCCAGGGTGTCCAATTCCGAAAGCAATTAGCAATGAGGGAGTGCGCCCGCCGAGCATTCCACCATGCTGACAATGATGCAGCCTTGCGAAGATCCATCCTCCGCAGGGATCGACCAGGCACTTCTGCCTACAGTCCCGGAGAATGGGTCATGATATGGCGAGCCGGCAAGGGAGGCTATCCAGGCGCATGGACGGGACCAATGAAGATTGTCGTCCAGGAAAACACTCAAACAATTTGGTCAACAAGCGCCAGCAAGTTGTTTCGAAGTGCTCCTGAACATGTTCGTCCCGTGACCGCCGCCGAAGCCCGTGACATCCCGATAAGCCACCATGGGCCACCTGTGTCCATCATTGCACAGCAAATACCCTGGAACAGCCAACAGGGTTTGACCCGAGCACTTGACCTGACCAATGAAATTACCCATAATCTACCATCAATAAATCCACAATCACCCCAAAATAACATAATCCCTAATCCCTCACCACCAGAAAACAATATCAATCCTGAAAATCCCGAAAGCCAGTCAGAAGGTCAACCAGACGGGGAACCCGAAGCTCCCCAAAGCCTACCAAGTGTGTCCCAAGCCGGAGAACCCGCCGACGGAGGGCCCTCTGAAGTTGACCACCAGGTCAATGATCCCGCTGTCAATACTCCAGTGCCTGAAGATGATGATGACCTAGTATGTGACAGCTTGGTTTGTTGTGATGATGCCCCATGTTGTTTTTCAGAAGCCATTGACTTAGCCTGGAGATTTGAAGTGGATATTCGCCAACAGGATCTTGAAAATTGGCGTCAAGAGACCGAATGCTCTGATATGGCCTTCGTTGCATCTGCCGCCAAAAGACAGCGCTCCGAGGTCAAAATATCTACTTTGAGCTCATCCGAAAAGGCCGAGTTTCAAAAGGCCAAGGACACTGAAATCAACAATTGGATCAAAACAGGAACAATCTCGAAAATCCTCAGAGAAAAGATACCCAGAGAACAAATTTTGCGTTGCAGATGGATATTAACATGGAAACCGATTGATGAGGATCATCAAGACAAAATGAATGCTAAAGACCCAAAAAGAGTAAAAGCCAAGGCGAGATTGGTCATCCTAGGTTACATGGATCCCCAACTCGAAGACCTGCCCAGAGATTCACCAACATTGGGACGTAACTCAAAAATGATCCTATTACAACTCATTGCATCTATGGGATGGGACCTCAAATCGTTTGATATCAAAGCGGCATTTCTGCAAGGAAAACCCCAACCTGGAAGGACCTTAGCAGTGGAACCCATACCTGAACTGATTCAAGCGTTGAACATGACCTCAGAGGAGGTATGCAAGCTCGAAAAGGGCGCATACGGCCTGGTGGATGCACCATATCTATGGTTCCTTGCAATTTCCGAAGAATTGCAGAAACTAGGTTTCGTGCAGAGTCCATTCGATCCATGCCTATATGTGCTTCACAGGAACGGTAACCTTGAAGGGATATTGGGGCTACATGTAGATGATGGCATATGCGGGGGTAGTAAGTTCTTTCAAGAAAAGATTGATCAATTGGAAGCCAAGTATCCGTTCGGGTCAAAGAAAATCCATAACTTCACGTTCACCGGAATCGAAATGCAACAGCTTCCCAACTACAGTATCCACATGAGCCAAACGAAATACATCAAAGCCATACCTCCCATACACATTAAACTCGACAGAAGAAAGCAATCCGAATCTCCTGTAACAGAAGAAGAAAGACAAGAACTTCGCGCCCTGATTGGAAGCCTACAGTATGGAGCTGTGCACACGAGACCTGACCTCGCAAGTCGTTTGAGTAACTTGCAATCCGCCATTAATCGTGCTACGGTAGAAACTCTGATCTCCGCAAATCAAGCCCTTCATGAAGCCAAAAAGTACAGTGAAGTAGCCATAAAGATCCAACCCATCCCCATCAAAGATTTTCGTTTCTTAGCCTTCTCCGATGCTTCCTTTGCCTCCAAGTCAAATCCTAGTTCACATACGGGCATGTTGATCATGGGGACTCACAAGGAAATTGGTAAGAATGTTGCCTGTCCTGTGAGCCCTTTGGCCTGGGGATGTAAGAAGATTCAAAGGGTGGTCACCAGTACCCTAGCTGCAGAAACAGTTTCTTTGAACACGGTGTTGGATCAATTATCATGGATGAGATTATGCTGGGGATGGTTACTTGATCCCACAATCAAATGGAAACAACCATCAAAAACTTTGAAGGAACTACCAGAAACTTTCTCCACGGCCACTTTTAACGCACAGAATATTCCTGAAAGTATCACTGCCACTGATTGCAAATCACTTTACGACCTAGTAACCCGAACTGCCATGCCGAATTGCGCGGAATACCGCACTCAACTGAATGCACGCTCCATTAAGGACTACCTCTCAGAAGGAGTCACTCTCCGTTGGGTACACAGTGGAGCACAGCTGGCTGACAGTCTCACAAAGATCATGGAGAATGGATTTCTCAGAGAGACTCTTTCGCTAGGACAGTATAAGTTGCACGATGAACTGGAAGTTCTCAAGGATCGTGCAACCACACGAAATCGGATTCGTTGGCTCAGAGGTGCACAGGTGCCTATGGAGGAACCCACCAACTGCAGTGAATCCTGAACACAATCAACAATTTTTGGATTTTTGGGAGTGTGAATTTCATCACTGCAGTTCATGTCACCACAGGACCACATCGACATTTCCAATTGCAATGCCCAGACTGGTATTCAAGTGAATCATCAACTTTGTTTTTCTTCTCAAAAGCACTTTGAGGCTCAGGACAGCCCACTTATTCCAAGGTGAGGGTAGGGAGGGATTCAACCGTGCTTGCCGCCATATCTGGGCATACGGAAGGACGTGGACGTCCTGAAACATAGGCCAGGGAGCCTTCTTTGCCTGATAGGCCTTCTTGCTGGGCCGAATCCAATCCTTCAACCTGGAAGGTGCGCATAGCAACCTTGAGCAGAGGCGCTTGGGAAAAGGCGCGACGCGGAGGTGCTGCCAGTGGGATTGGTGCTTTACCAATCACAATATATATATATGTTATCAAACCATCATGAAAGTAATATCATATCTGAATTGAACATGATTTCCATTAAATATGTTCATACCATCTATGTTTTTGATCTAGAACAGATTGACATCGGAGTCACCAGGGGAGAAATCCTGAAATGGGCGACTGGGTCCAAAAATCAATAACTCCATGGTTGAACATCGCATTTTCCCCTGCTGAAAAACAAGACCTTTTTGTGTATATTCTATGTTGTTCCATGTTCAATCCAAACGAAGTGCGACATTCCTTCGTTCTCCTCGTCCGGAGCACAGGCGGTGCACATAGGGCACTGGTCCCACCCGGACTTTGGCAAGGGAACATGGCGTCAAGTTGCGCAGCTGCAGAAAATAGGACAGAATCATGAGCTACATCCCAGAATTTTGACAGAGCTCTTTTAAAAGGCCATACACCCAAGACTCACGTCATTTGTGGTTGAATGATGTTGAATGATGTTGAATGTTCGTCTCCCAGGGGTACAAGTTTGGTTGAGCAATTCAGGGCGACAAAATCGTCCTTTTTGGGGTTGAACCTTGCAATCTGCTGGATTCTTTTGGGGCAAAATCACTTGTGGACTTCTGATTGGTGGCTACAAATTGAGAGTCTAAGAACCTCTGATCTGTCCTCACTTGGCAGGTTTATTTACATACATTCTGATCTGTCGGGTATCTTTGTCCATGTGGAGATGCATCTGCTCCTACTCCATCCGCGGCACATCTGCATTGCGGCTGCATGGTCATCCACAAATGTTGGAAGTACAGGTGACATGACCCAACCCCACATCTTCAAACAACCGGCAGGATACAACATGGCAAAGACCACACTGGACCACAACTTCTCTGTGACAAAGGGTCAACTCCCTCTCCTTACAAGCTGTCAAATTGGAAAATGCAAGAATAAGTATGGGCAATGTCTAAGTGGACAATCAGCTTCCGAAATGTCCAAACACAAGTTAAGTCTTGAGTCTTGAGATAGAAGTTAGGGTTCCGGACCCTCTAGCAATCTGAAACATTGTGGGGATTTCATTCACCACTTGCAGATGATTTCTCGGTTTCTGCCAAGTTTGCAATGCAAGGGCCATTTTTGATGGGTAAATCAACGAACTAAATTGGCCATTTTCAATCGCAAACTGTTACTTTACCAGAGGGTAGTTCATATCTCCGTCCGTTGCAATGCCTCTGTGCCGTCCACTTTGATCACCCGCAGCACGTGAACCCTGGGACGACTGGGAGCCAAGGAACGGTCCACAGACCATGACACCAATGCCAGGATGCCCTGGCTGAATTATTGGCTCTTGTACTCCAGTGGTCTTCCTGATTCACACAATCTCTATGTATATATATATAATGTGTACATACATACATACATACATACATTACATTACATTACATTACATTACATTACATTACATTACATTACATTACATACAATCAATACATACATTACATACATTACATACATTACATACATTACATACATTACATTACATTACATTACATTACATTACATACCATTACATACCATTACATACCATTACATACCATTACATACCATTACATACCATTACATACCATTACATACCATTACATACCATTACATACCATTACATACCATTACATACCATTACATACATTACATACCATTACATACCATTACATACCATTACATACCATTACATACCATTACATACCATTACATACCATTACATACCATTACATACCACCATGACATACATACCATTACATACCATTACATACATACACCATTACTACATACCATTACATACATACATACATACATACATACATACATACATACATACATTACATACATACATACATACATACATACATACATACATACCATACATACCATTAACATACATACTACATACATACATACATACATACATACATACATACATACATTACATACATACATACATACATACATACATACATACATTACATACATACCATACAGACATACATACATACATACATACATACATACATACATTACATACATACCATTACATACATACCATACATACATACATACATACATACTATACATACATACCATACATACATACCATACATACATACCATACATACATACCATACATACATACCATACATACATACCATACATACATACCATTACATACATACATACATACATACATACATACATACATACCATACATACATACCATACATACATACCATACATACATACCATACATACATACCATACACACATACCATACCACATACCATACATACATACCATACATACATACCATACATACATACCATACATACATACCATACATACATACATACATACATACCATACACACATACCATACATACATACCATACATACATACATACCATACATACATACCATACCTACCTACCTACATACATATACATATATATATGTATATATCTATATTCATATCACCCATCAGAAAACAATCACCAAGCAACATCAAACAGTTGGTTTCCCATCTGCAGGTTAAATCCCCTGATGCAAACCTGGTGACCATCAAGCAACGTCTGACTTTTTGGAGTATATTATTTATCCCCATCGTCAAACCCTCGCAAGTCAATCGTTCCCAAAAACTAAGTTAAAATGGTTGTGACCGACCAAGAACATGGGTAAAGGCCTTGAACCACTGTGCGGTTCCCCAACCATTTGAGCATCCCATCTCATCCACATTGATCCCTTCGGCAGCAGCTGGTCTGGCCACCTGAAAAATCATGGCAACACTGTGACGAATTATGCTATATGAGATTGTATATGATACCGTATATATATATATATGTATATATATAATATAATATAATAAAATATAATATAATATAATATAATACAATATAATATAATATAATATAATAATATATACAGGCTCAAGGCTGGGGGTTCCCCGGAGCTTCGAGGAACCCTCAGTCTTGATGCTATACCATAAAGGTCGTTCTTGTATAGAGATGGGGGGTGGGGGGGTGGGGGTGGGGGGGTGTGTAATAACTTCATGTGAAGTGCGTTGGATGATGTTGAATCCTGGAAGATGTTGCTTGGTTGGAAGATGGTGTTACGTTGAAAGTTTCGTTGTTGTTTACAGAAGGGGGATGGGGGTGGTGGGGGGGTGTAATAACGTCATGTGAAAAACATAAAACACTGTAAAACACAGTGTGAAAACAACATTTTCCATCGCCATCAAAAAAAACATCATGGACGCGCAGACAAAAAAGATGTGATGTTCATTTCGTCCATGGTTCTCCAGTGAATTATCACATGTTCTACTTATCAACAGAACAACCAAAAATGCATGAAACCGCACTTCCAATGGTTTGCATGTTCCACACATCTTTAGTCATCCATGGAAGATCTAAATTTATCCTGGTTCGGCGCGGACAAACGTCAAGTTCTTCCGCGATGAAAATGGAACTTCGATTGATCAAACAAATTCAGAGAAAAACAAAAAACACTGTAAAACACAGTGTGAAAACAACACTTTCCATCACCATGCCAAAAAAAAGGTTTGTGGACGCGAAGATGAAAAAGATGTGATGTTCATTTCGTCCATGGTTCTCCAGTGAATTATGACATTTTGTACTTATCAACAAAAACTCAAAACATGCATGAAACCGCAATTCCAATGGGAAAAATGTTGCACACATTTTTGGCCATCCATGGAAGATGTAAATTTATCATTTTTCTGCGCGGACAAACTCCGATATATATGTATATATATATATGCGTATAAATGGTATCCAAAACAAATATCCGAACACATGTATATCTATATGTATATCTATATGTATATCTATATGTATATCTATATGTATATCTATATGTATATCTATATGTATATCTATATGTATGTCTTTTGTATATATATAATTATATATAATTATATATAATTATATAGAATCATATTATACATAATATATTATCATTATTACATCATCATTACTACTATTATTTACACATAAATCAAACACACAACTATGACCTTCCGAGGCCTCGGGAAGGGATTTCTTGGTTGTTTGGTTCCCCTGGTTTTATCAACGGGTCACCTGGGACTTATTCGAAACTTAGCCTGGAAACGAGGTTCTTGCATGATTTTGGGAAATCTTTAGAACATCTTTTGGATTACATTTGGTCCAAGAAATCCCTTAGAATCATGTTTCTGTTCCAAAATGGTACATGTCATAGAAAAACTACCCTCTGGTAAACAAACATAGCCTATAATTGCTATTGAAAATTGCCATTTATAGTGGATTTACCCATTGAAAATGGTGATTTTCCATAGTTATGTTAGTTTAACAGAGGGTAAACTCCCCAAAAATCCCGGTGAAACAGCGGCATTTGTTGAACCGTCTTGGGATTTTGCGGAACCCCAACGCCGCTAAGCCTGGGCGCTGGGCTGCCTGGCAACAACGCCTTTCGGCGCCGCGACTTTCAGGGCACCTGGCACCCCAAGATTTCATGGGAAAATTCGGAAAAATCCCATTTCCGGTGAAGATTTTCCTGCCAATCCATTGGTGTACACTCTGGTAATTTAACGTAGCTATTGAAAATGACCATTTATAGTGGATTTTCCCATTAAAAATTGTGATTTTCCATAGTTATGTTAAATTACCAGAGGGTAACTTTGATTTGTAGAAATACTGTAGAGACATGTTGAAAATTCATTCTGATGAGTTTTGATACCATCTGATTAGTTCATTTGGGTCTTTTTAAGACATTTTAATTTTCCATTTTTCAATCTGCTAGAAATTTATATCGACCAAGATTTTCCATCCGAAACTCCGCAAGAGGAAGTTTGGAACCACCATCACAAAAGGCCCACTGAACTTTCTGAACACGTAGGATTTAATCAATACCAAATATGATATATAATTGATATATTGATATATTGCATTATTGATTATTGTAGAACTAATACCTAATATAGTTTTTTCATATAATGATTATAAATATGATTCTATGATAATCATAAATAATAATTACATATGACATAATATGATATAAACTAATATCATTATTTGAAACTACCGACCATTTTTTGATTCTTCTGGATGTACATCACAAACATTCCAGAACCAACAACCTTCTCACGGAAATCACTGCGAGTTTTCAGCGTCCATTTTTCCAGCTCCCGAAGACTACTGACTCTTCAAAAGATTCTGTGTATTCCTGCTGCATCCCAAATACAATAGTAAAATAGAATAAAGACTAACGAACCACCCCAAATTCGACATTTTACAATCTAGTGCAGTAAGTTTTCAAGTAACCTTTTTCTTGAACACAGCTTGTTGAGTGCGCTCCCACACACTCAACGGAGTATCAACAGAACTCTTCAACTTTTTTGGGCGCTGCTTCGCTTCAATCTGCGCATCGTCCTGGAGAGCGCCCCAAGGTGATGTGGGAATGACCGCCGAATGACCCAAGGGTTGGAATTCATTTTGCCTACGAAATCCAACCATTGCTGTAATACTCTGAGGCACTGCTTACCATTTTCCAACCTGACATATTTCAAATAATTATTTCACAGGCGAATTAGTCTGGAAGCAGGGATCCAGCAGCTTGTGGCAGCGCGATGGGGAAATTGACGGTTTGAACATCGATAGTGTTCCAGAATGTTCATCTGAAAGCTTTGGTCACAACGTGTTATTTTTTTTAAAAGAATCATGCTTATGATCATAGATGAGAAACTTCATATCAAAAACACAGCGTTCATACCTTTGGTTAAGTGACCATTTTCGATTGGATCCAGATGTCTCAGGCTCCCGATTTCTGTTTTCGTGTTCAACTCTCAATGTAAAACACGTTGCTTGTAGATGTTGTAGTTGTATCCTAAAATTCCCTTTTCCAGAAAAACATTCCCATTTTCGCAACTGAAACCCTCCTTTTAAGGTGATTTTCAGGTTGATCTCCCTCCATATCTGTTGGCTGAGTCCCAGTTTTGTGCCATTTCTTGCCAATCAAACGCATAAAAAACACCCCAAATATTGGGTTGACACTTTTGCCAATCGACCAGACACAAAAAAACATATTAATGGATGCACATATGTTATATGAGTGAAATTTGATAGAGTGACACTGGTGATGATTTCATATGTATTTTCAACATCATTTGTTTCCTTTAGCATCACATTTCCTGTTCAAGTCCAAGCCTCCAAGGCCATGTTGACGCCGGATCTGGCGTGGCGGGATATCCCAAAAAAGATGAACATATAAAATCCATTAAAATCCTATGAAAGTCTTGGGGAAAGTACTGGACATAGTAAACTAGTATAGTGATTAACTATGTTTAACTAGCGATTTTTCTAGACAAGTAAATGCAACTAAATGACTTTTCTGAAACTCTTGGGGGGTTGTTAGAGTAAGCGGATAACAACCATGTTACAACTCGGCTTATTAGCCATGGATTAAGCTATGTGGACCTATTGGATCTATCGAAACCTGGATGTGTCTGAAAATGGGGTGTGCCCACCAAACAATGGGGTCATTTGCATAGGGCCTTGGAATTTAGAGATCTTCCCCGCATTTTTTCAAACCCATCTATGTAGATGTGTGTATGTATGTATGTATGTATGCATGCACCGGCCTTAACTCCTACCAATTCGAACCCCTCAGTGTGGACACAGCCCGACCTTCTCGGAGACCGATGCCCAAACCACCACCTGATTTTTTGGGAGTCGTCGTCGGCGGCGTTGGGATTCAGCGGTGTCACCGTTTTGGAAAATGGTTGGAAAAACCCTTTGGAATCCTCGGATGTTCCAATATTTTTTCACAAGTCCAACATTTTTCCCAAGATTTTCTGGTTGGTGGTTTCAACCCCTCTGAAAAATATTAGTCAATGGGAAGGATTATCCCATATATTATGGAAAAAAAATCATGTTCCAAACCACCAGCCAGTTTTTAATTCCCAAGTTTTTTGGGCAACTTTTCCAGGTTTGCCCTTGGAATATGGTCATCAGCTCATCTCTGTCGCTGAAGCTGGACATAGAACGCGAAGAATTACAGCATGCTTCTACGGAGTCCCAAGATTCTAAACATACTCCAAGCGATCTAATGTTAATCATTCAAATCATCCAATAATCATCTAATGGTTTGATCATAGTCCCAATATTCATCCAATAATCATTCAAATCATTTCCACCTAAGATTTAATATGATTTAATAGCTGATATTTCTTCTAATGAATCTAATGAGCCAAGTGGCAGGTCCCCAAGTCATGCAGCCAAAAGAAGGAGCATCTAAAACCACGTCCAAGGCCTAAAACACGTGGTGATTTGGAGACTTCAATGTGGATACGATTTGGTGGATATGGATGGATATGGGGCCTTCACTTTTTTTAAAGAACCAGGAGTTTGTTTAAAAAAACGATTGCACTGCAAAACGACACGTATCATTTTTTGAGGAATAAACTAAATGATGAATATAGATTAAGGGCATGTTGGTACGGCTGAAAACAACACTTTCACATGATTGGAGAATGAAAAAAAACACATGACAATTTCACATGATCGGAGAATAATTGGAAAACTGGAAAAAACACATGAAAAACACAACGAAAAAACAAACAATAATTCCTTGGTCCGGACTCAGTCTGTGGCTGTAAGATTCTCGTAAATAATTCTCCCAAGTTTGTCAATCTCAGCAAGTACCCAAGTATGTGGTCCACAGATTACTACATGGTACCCGGTACCCTATTTGAAAAGATATGGCCTAGTCCAAAAATAAGAGGTAACACACTCTGTGTCTACTTCAACAGGGAAATGATGATCACACAATCGATTTTAGGATATTCTAGGGTATCCATTGTTGGTCACACCCGCATGAATAGAACATAAGTGAAAGCACCTCTAAGATTAGAGTTGGCCTGGTTCACAGGAAAGTTTGGGCCAGCTGTAATGTCTGCTTGACACATATTTTCAGCATCTCTCCCACCTAAAGGCTGATTTATTCATAGCTTTCGGAAGTGCTAAGCATCACCCAGGGCTTTCAAACATGCTAAGCATCACCCACGTATACGTGGTGATCCAAGTAATCCCATAGTAATCCCATAGTAATCCCATAGTAATCCCATCCAGTCATCGTCATCCTGGTAACATCCTGGTAACATCCCAGGCACCACAGGCAACAAACCCAACGTTGGAGCAGCTGGCAGAGAGATTGCGCCTGGGAACCCGCTGGGAACCGGCAGGGAACATGTGGGGAAGATCCACTGTGGCAGCCTTGCAGAATACATGTTCTGAAAAATCTGGGGTTTCATCTATGTCTTTCTGGTACATATCTACTGACTGTGTATATATATATATATATATACATATGTAATACAATAATACACAACATATATATATATATGTAATGTAATATAAATAATATATAATATAACATATAATGTATAATATATAATACACAATACATACTATATAATACATAATATATATTCCATGATATATAAGATACAATATACAATATAAATTATAAAATATATAATATATAGTATGTAGTATATATCATATTACATTATATCATATCATATATTGTATTACACTATATATTATAGTCTATCATATTATACTAAATATTACATTATACTATATTAACATATATCACATTAAAATATAAATTACATTGCATTATATTGCATTATATTACATTATATCATATTACATTATATTATATAGATGATATAAACTATAAACAACTATATATATGGGGTGTGTGACCATATTCATCTGTAATAATTATATATATATATCTATCACAGTATGCATATATATATACATAATAGTATGTATATATATATATCATAGTATATATATAGTAGTATATATATAATAGTATATATACACATGTACCATAGTATATATATATATCATAGTATATATATATGCATCATAGTATGTATATATAAGTATCATAGTATCTATCTATCTATCTATCTCTCTCTCTATCTATCTATCTATCTCTATCTATCTATCTCTATCTATCTATCTATCTCTATCTATCTATCTCTATCTATCTATCTCTATCTATCTATCTCTATCTATCTATCTCTATCTATCTATCTATCATAGTATATATATATATAAAATGATATATGAATACAGAATATGTTGGACGTACATGATCTCATCACAAATATCTTGTGGACTGCTCCCTGTTAACGCTCCGATGAGTACAGCCTTTGCGCTCTTCGCGTCCGGTTCTTCGCCTCACTGGGGCCTTTTACCGGTCATTTCTTGCCATGCCAAATGGCACAACGAAAGGCGCACCGGTTTAGACGACGAAAGTCGCGCAGCTGCAGATGGAAGCACTGCTTCCTGTGGCGGTTGAGTTCGAGATTTTTCATGGCGATAGGCTACGAAACTTGACCAAACTCATGTTCCTAGCCCCATTGTTGAGTCTTGCCTAGTAGAAAGTCTCATCTGCAGACAAAGTGATGTGGAGGAGAAATGTTTTGGTAGAACTCCGCACATCACGTCTCATGTCTCATACACCCCCGACATTCGACGACACATTTTTTTCGTCCTGCAACTCGAGTGGGAGGGCAGGTGGCCCAGCGCTATCGAGGACGCGAAAGAGCTTCCAAAGAAAATGCCACCACAGAGCCTCAAAGTTTTTGAAGCTTGATTAACGATGATTAATGAGACTATGTAGCCCGACTTCCATATGTACATCTATCTATCTATCTATCTAGCTATCTATCTATCTATCTATCTACCTACCTACCTATCTATCTATCTATCTACCTATCTATCTATCTATCTATCTATCTGGAAATAACACATATCAGGAGTTCAGGTGATGAAACTTCATGATACTTATCAAACATGTAGACACCTGGAGCTTGGGCAACATGTACCGGAAGCCCCCGGACCCCTGGATCAATGGCAGGAAGAATGGTTGCTTTTTTTTGGAGGCTTTTTGAAGCACTGCTTTCACACATTGAAATTGCGGGAGGGGTGTCTAGCTGTCCCTGCTAGAGTTCATAAATTGTTTGGCCGTTTTCTTTGAAGAACCTGGTATGGTGAGGCACCCAAAAATGGAACAGTTGTTTCAGACATTTTCAGACTATCTTTTTTACTCCGATTTTATTTTTCTATCTGTTTTGGGGTTTGCCTTTTACAAGTCTTTTTCCTGATTTCCCGGGGATGAAACCATCCATTTTTGGGCCAAACGACTGTTCCCTGCAGGGCCGAACTGCTCAAACTGCTGTGGTGCCATACCTCGGCCGTTTAGCAAGTTGGACCGCGATTCGGATGTGAAAAATCCAGGTGCGACACGGATGTCAAGCTGGACGCCGAAAAAACCACTTGAGTGTGGCGCATAAAAACACCACATGTTCAACACATTTCGATGAAAAATTCGAGTCATCTCTTTGGTTGAAACTCAAGACCTCTGTAGCCGGTCTCGGTAGGACCGCTTGCAAGGATTGAGGATACTGCAGACACGGCAATCCAACTAATCATGTTTGATACCGCAAACATCCACATCAGCCAACACAGAATTCCGCAAGGAGATACGAGTAATCTCAAGTAATTTTCTAGTGAAGCAATGTCATAAGCCACCCATGTTTTGATGGTTTATACTAGTTTATACCACCCATAAAATGGCAAACTTGGGGATGACCAAGGAATCACCCAGGTACGCGGCCAATCTCCACCTGGTGTGTGGATGAAAGGTTCCCAAACACAAACATATTAGGGTATCTGATTCGCAACCATCAGCCAGACATGTGGTTAAGGCCAACTTGGCTGTCATATCAGAGTATCTGATCATTTCCTGGAAATGGTAGCGAAATGGTAGGGAACCAATCATTTCTCAATGAAATCGTATGAAATCTATCATTTGGAAGCGGGTATCGTCTCAAACTGGGGATCTCCTGTTTTCGGCTAGGTAATTTCTGTCTTTGGAAAACCACCAGCTATTCTTTCGGATTTTCCCAGCTGTAAACCTCGGGTATTTTCCAGCCTTCTTCGATTTGAGGGCAACTAGGGTGGGAGATGCAGTTGCTCACATGTCTCACATATCCTATCCCAATGAAATATCCTACCCTCTGGTAATTTTACATAGCTATTGAAAATGGCTCATTAACAGTTCATTTACCTATTCCAAATGGTGATTTTCCATATCTATGTTAGTTTACCAGAGGTAAATTGTTTGTTTAAATCCCAGGGTAGACTTCGCCTTCAAATGATTTCTGGATCGCCGGTGAACCTACTGTAGCGGCCTACCCCAGTTTGGAAAGGCTGGGACAATTTTATCTATTCATAGGATCCCTTATTGGCGGTATGCAATGTTACAGTGATATACATTGGTTGTATAATCAAATCTAATAATCCAATTACACATAATAAATGTATATATATATACATATTTTTAAAAATGTATACATATAATAAATATCTGTCAGAATGATTAAACAAGTTTCACACCCACATGTTTCATCGCGCCGGGCTCGGATGCCTTCCTGCGCAGCATCTTTTGTAGCCGGTGGGAGGCCGCCAAGTCATGGTTTTCCTCGCCTCATTGTGGATTTTGGTCGTGAACATCTACCCTCTGGTAAACGTTTACAGTTTGCTATTGAAAATGGCCCAGTCGAAATCCTGGATTTACCCATTAATAGCATGGTGGATCTTTCCATAGTTTTTTGTTAACGTTTACCAGAGGGTAACGATTGAAGATGGTCCATTATAGATGACTTACTTATTAAACATGGTGATTTTCTATGTCCCAGAGGGTATCTTTCCCATTGAAGATCCCCTAAATTTACCATGGAACCCCAATTCTTGATGTTTGGAAGATGACTTTATTCACAATCACCCCATAAGAGGGGTAAATGGGGAGAATTGGGGAGATAAAGCGGTCAAATTCTTGAAATTAGCTAAATTTACCCATGTAAATCCCTCTTTGTCGTATCATTCACCATTCATGGGTTGAAGCAAGCCTGAAGAAAATGATGAAAACTTAGGGATTTCATCAAAATGACCCATGAATTACATTAAAATTCCAATAAATTCCATGAAATCACCATGAAGAATGCAATTTTCATCCCATTTTCCATGCTAAAAAAACCATGAAATCTTCCCATCTTCCCGAGGCACAAGAACTCCATGCTGCTGCCAAGCCAGCTGCCCCGGCCACTGAACTGCAGCTGTTTCGAGTTTCGGAGAGTTTCTCGTTGCCAGGTTGGGGCTTTAGACATGTTAAATAGTGGTTAATAGTGGTTAATAACGATAATTAATGGTGATTAATGGCGATTTACCTGTTTATTGATGGATATACACCCTCTGGTAATTTATCATAGCTATGGAAAGATATGGACCATGCTATAAAAATGGGTAATTCCACTATTTCGACTGGGCAATTTTCTATAGCAAACTGTTAGTTTACCAGAGGCTAATTAGATGGATTTATCAACCATGGATGGATTATATCAACTAGGTAATAGTTTATCATATCATGACATATCTCTGACATATCTATAATTGGATGGATTTATCAACCAACAATTGGGGTAACGTAAAACTTTGGAAGGACCCAAGTTGGGCTTATGGTTTCAAGCCATCCCCAACGTTTGACACCGCCCGAATCAGCAGCAATGCACTCCCCCAAGTTTGCAGCGATCTGATGAATCTGATCTTCATTTCTGATTTGTAGATAAGGACACTTCATATTGTATCATGATGCTTGGCTTTGGCTTAAATATATCATGTAATATAATATATAGATAATATCACATATATCGTGTATAATATGTATATATACATATATATATACAGATATCACCAAGAGTAACGTGTTGGGTCAACATCCATGGTTGAAACATCATGGCTGGCTAAACCCCCACCTGGTCTCCACGAACACCAAGCACTTGGAGGTTGAGCTCAGGGCATTCCTTGGAGCTTCTGGATATATGCGATTTTTCAAGGGACACATCCAGAGGAAAATCGGAGAAACAAGAGGACCGTAGAAAACCCAACTGGAAACTGGTTGGTGGTGCAATAACCATTTTGAAAAATATGAAAGTCAATGGGAAGGATGACATCCCATATATGAAATGGAAAATAAAAACATGTTCCAAACCACCAACCAGGAAAAAATAGAAACAACCTTGGGCCTCCTCACGTTTTCTCACAGGGAAATTGAACTTGGATTGAAACAAACACACACACACAATTTTCACATGGAACTTTTTCAGAAGTGGGTATGGATCAATACCTATTAATACCATTTTTAGTGGGATGAACATCCATTTACCAGCTATTTTGATGTCCACCAGGTACCAGGGTTTTGACCCATCCCCAAGTACTTGAAGGATATTTTTTGCACTTGAGCAATGTGGATGGGCAAACAACCCCAGCATCTGGATGAAATCATTGGATACACGGACTGTCGGTAAAATCTGCATCAATTCATCATCATACAATTCTTCATATATATATATAACATCATATAACATCATCTAACATCATATATATATATATACTGGTAGTATATATATATATAGATAGCCAGGATGATGTAGCCTGATGCTTGGATGCCCAGCAAGACCACATCGCCAGTGACCTGCCGAATTTCGCGAACACGAGGGCCATGGCCCCATCCGCAGGAGAATTCATGTTTTTTTTTTGTTTTTACGGATTATAGTTTATTTATCATCATTTATCATCATTTATCATCATTTATCATCATTTAGCCATGTGGCTATGAGTCAAAACCCTGTACCCCTGGTGAACAGCAAATAGCTGGTAAATGAATGTTCATCCTCACAACATGTAGCATTAGAGTTTTTAAGCCATCCCTATGTTAGTTAGCTCTTTGCCGTTCACAAAATGCCTGGATCTGCAAAACACTGCAATGGGCATCAATGGGCCCCGCCTTGCTGGGCACGAGGCCGTCTTCATGCAAACCTGGTAGTTTCAGCCACAAAAAAGACATGAACAAAGATCTGGGCAAATTACCCTCTGGTAAACTAACAGTTTGCTATTGAAAATGGCCTATTATAGTGGATTTTCCCATCAAAAATGGTGATTTTCCATAGCTATGTTAGTTTACCAGAGGGTATATTAGTTCACTATCCTGAAACTTGCAACCATTTTGGGATGATTCCTCTTAAGCATGATTCCAAGGTTCGGGAGAACACTAAAATCGTTATTTTTTTTGCCCAGAAAGATACTGACATTGGTTGATCATCCCAAAAATTGTGAATCATATTCTCCAATCATGCTACACTTAGGATTCATGATCCCAATTGTTGGGAATGACAATGCAAGAAACCAACAAATATCTAAAACACATCCCCCATGTATAGCCCGCTAGATGCTTTGCGGCCGACTTTATAGAGAATAGCCTGGTATAAACTGGAATGGCCACGTGTCTGGAGTCTATAAAGTGGAAAGCCAACATGTTTTGTCTATAAAGTCAAAATCCAACGTTTGTATAAAGTCGCCTGGCCGCGTAAAAACATAAAACTCGATGCAGGTTTTTGAGGGTGCTTGTGAACATGTCCCATGACTATAAAGTGAGATGCCGAACATCCAGATAGTAATACTTGTGCAGAACAGTGGCACTATAATGTGGATTTCCGGCTAAACAACGATCGTTGTAGTAGCGATGATTTTCTTAATCGCGACGATGGCAGCATCGACATGATTGTCTATAAAGTTGAGGGGCCACGTTCAAACCTTGGGGGAATATCATCGATCTCATCGATGGGGAACCCAAAAGACTTCGAATGACTTCGAAACCGAACGAAACCGACAGCCAGACAAATATCTATATCGAACTCGTTAACAGAATCTATGGTAAAACCAAATCTATGTTGGACTGGCCACTTTATACCCTCCCCCAACAGAGAATGTCTCTAACACACTTTCCTTTGAAAGGGGTCCTTGGGGTGAAAGGGGTCCTGGTCGCGCCGCGCGCGCGCGCGCGCAAAATGGCTCCAATTTTGACACCTTTTTGGCGCGCGCGCGCGCGGCGCGCCCAGGACCCCATTCACCCTGAGGAATTTTTCAAGGGAAATCTTCTTCTCTATAAAGTGGCCAGTCCAGGTAAAACCCCTGAAAAAACAGAATCTATGTTGGACTAGAGAATGCCTCTATAAAGTGGCCAGTCCAGGTAAAACCCCTGAAAAAACAGGAATGGCCACTTTATACCCCCTCCCCCAAAGTTGGAAAAAACACATGGAATGGCCACTTTATACCCCCTCCCCCAACAGAGAATGCCTCTATAAAGTGGCCAGTCCAAGTAAAACCCCTGAAAAAACAGAATCTATGTTGGACTGGCCACTTTATACCCCCTCCCCCAACAGAGAATGCCTCTATAAAGTGGCCAGTCCAGGTAAAACCCCTGAAAAAAGCACTTTATACCCCCTCCCCCAACAGAGAATGCCTCTATAAAGTGGCCAGTCCAGGTAAAACCCCTGAAAAAACAGAATCTATGTTGGAATGGCCACTTTATACCCCCTCCCCCAACAGAGAATGCCTCTATAAAGTGGCCAGTCCAGGTAAAACCCCTGAAAAAACAGAATCTATGTTGGACTGGCCACTTTATACCCCCTCCCCCAACAGAGAATGCCTCTATAAAGTGGCCAGTCCAGGTAAAACCCCTGAAAAAACACATTTTTACCTGGAATGGCCACTTTATACCCCAGCCAGTGGGCTCCAGGACTTTGACCCGGAAACGGAAGGGCTGACAACAAGGTAAAGGGGGAAAACTACAACGGAGAGGTACAACGGGAAGGCTACCACAAGAAAATGAGACATGTCACGTTTATATACGTTTATTGTTTTCAATGTGTCATATAGATTGGCGATGATTGGTATATTGAATATGTTGTAGATGTATTTTGGAACATATGTATACCTATGATTCACACATCAATATAATATATATATATATATAAATCATAAACACATGCCAAACCAAAAACTTTTAGCTGAGTATTGTATTCCCAATCTGTTGGCAAATGTCCAGCCGATTCACCATGCGTGACCCAACAAGATTCAAACTATGGATTGTTTAATTTCGAAAAAAAAATACTGGTTCTTGCAAACAATTTTATAGAGGATGGGCATGGACCGGCCAGTTTATACAGAGGGTGGGGCTGCCAGAAATGACGTGATCAAACCACTTTATAGAGCTGAACTTTCTTGCAAACCATTTTATAGAGGATGGGCATGTGGCCGTGGTTTTGGTCCATAGATGTCCATAGATTTTTAGGATGATTTTGGGAGATTGTCGTCATAGATATACGTAGATTCACCCAGTATTTTTTTCAAAAGTAAACAATCCATAGTTTGAATCTTGTTGGGTCACGCATGGTGAATCGGCTGGACATTTGCCAACAGATTGGGAATACAATACTCAGCTAAAAGTTTTTGGCTTGGCATGTGTTTATGATTTATATATATTTAAATTGATGTGTGAATCATAGGTATACATATGTTCCAAATACATCTACAACATATTCAATATACCAATCATCGCCAATCTATATGACACATTGAAAACAATAAACGTATATAAACGTGACATGTCTCATTTTCTTGTGGTAGCCTTCCCGTTGTACCTCTCCGTTGTAGTTTTCCCCCTTTACCTTGTTGTCAGTCCTTCCGTTTCCGGGTCAAAGTCCTGGAGCCCACTGGCTGGGGTATAAAGTGGCCATTCCAGGTAAAAATGTGTTTTTTCAGGGGTTTTACCTGGACTGGCCACTTTATAGAGGCATTCTCTGTTGGGGGAAGGGGTATAAAGTGGCCAGTCCAACATAGATTCTGTTTTTTCAGGGGTTTTACTTGGACTGGCCACTTTATAGAGGCATTCTCTGTTGGGGGAGGGGGTATAAAGTGGCCAGTCCAACATAGATTCTGTTTTTTCAGGGACTGGCCACTTTATAGAGGCATTCTCTGTTGGGGGAGGGGGTATAAAGTGGCCAGTCCAACATAGATTCTGTTTTTTTCAGGGGTTTTACCTGGACTGGCCACTTTATAGAGGCATTCTCTGTTGGGGGAGGGGGTATAAAATGGCCATTCCAGGTAAAAATGTGTTTTTTCAGGGGTTTTACCTGGACTGGCCACTTTATAGAGGCATTCTCTGTTGGGGGAGGGGGTATAAAGTGGCCAGTCCAACATAGATTCTGTTTTTTCAGGGGTTTTACTTGGACTGGCCACTTTATAGAGGCATTCTCTGTTGGGGGAGGGGGTATAAAGTGGCCAGTCCAACATAGATTCTGTTTTTTCAGGGGTTTTACCTGGACTGGCCACTTTATAGAGGCATTCTCTGTTGGGGGAGGAGGTATAAAGTGGCCAGTCCAACATAGATTCTGTTTTTTCAGGGGTTTTACCTGGACTGGCCACTTTATAGAGAAGAAGATTTCCCTTGAAAGGGGTCCTCAGGGTGAATGGGGTTCTGGGCAGCTCTATAAAGTGATTTGGGTGATGTATCTCATGACTCTATAAAATGCTCTGCCGCAATTTTCTTTCTATAAAGTGCCCTGGATGCAGCACAAATTCTTCTTCTTAAAGGGCAAGTTTCACTCTATAAAGTGCTTTGCCATGTATACAGCCCCAACAGAAAGATATTGGCCCGAAATCATTGGGGAGACATGTTTCTATAAAGTGGATGGTGTGACATATTATGGCCATTCTTTGAAGGGAAGGTCTATAAAATGCATTGCCGCATATATTGAGTCGTTTCCTTGTGGGGAACCAGCCGGGTATAAACTGGAAAGCCAACGTTGCTATAAAGTCATCTTCCAGGTCCAAGGGCATGTTTCTCGCGCAAAACACGGCTTTATCCCCCATTGTCGGTATATAAAGTGGCGACCGGAAACCCACTTTATAAGCGCAAAGGATGTCCACTTTATAGTGAGCTATACATGGGGGATTAAAACACCAGCAAAAGAGTCAACTGTAATCCGTACAAAAACACACAAGAAACACACAAACACAAAACAAAAATCACAGCACAACTTGAGACTTGAAACCACTGCAGCTTCAGAAACTTTCCCACAAACTCAGGGTCCTCTCCCACATGCTGCTCTTCTCCGTCGCCGCCATGGTGCAATTGTAGCTGATGATACCTCGACTGACCGACGGGAGGGACCTGCATGGCATCTCTTGTCCGTGGTGCTGTGACCGACGTTCCAAAAGTTACAGCTCTGAGTGATTTTCAGAAGATGAGGCTTGAAAAGTGATCTTGAACTATTGTGGATTCTTAATGATTCTTAATGATTCTCAGCAATCTGGGGTATTCATCTTGCTCTTCAGTGTGGTGAAACATGGTCCCTCCCAGTCACAGTCATCTGGTGCAATTTTTTGACTCAGAGAGACTTCATCCAACATGATCTGATTGCGACTTCCTCTATGACTAGATCAATGCCCTGTATTCCTCTATCAAAGCCACTTGTAAAGCAATGGCTAGACACCAGGAATGCATTCACTTCATTCCCCGATCTGAGTCAGTTGGGATAATCATCTGACAGCGGGGGTTGAACATTCAACACTCATTGAAACCACAAACCATATCCGAATTACTTGTTGGCAAAATCAACCCAAGCTTTTAATCAATCTCAGTTCTTGTGCATTTACGAGGCATATCACACACACACACACATATATATATATACATACACATATATACATAATTATACATATATGTTACTATATAAATATCATATCCTCTGTTTTCTCTATCCTGGTTCTATCCCCCTTCCGGATCCTTCCGGTACAAGTCACTGGGCTTCAGAGACGACGCCGTCCGCATCTTTTGGAGCAACTGCACCTTAGCATCGTCCACAAACCTTTTCCCTACATTTTTTCAATAGGAATGCACTACTACAAAGAACTCAAGAAGTGGGAAGCCAGCCGAAAAGGTGAACTTTTTGTGATCCAAGGTTTGTTTTTCTTGGCTTTTCGATGGTTTCTTGGGATTTGTGTGGTTTCATATTCGAATTCCAATGAAAAGTTCTGTAGATAAGTTCGTCGTTCAGCGAGAAGCCACAATTATACCAACTATTCAATGAAGGCTAATATAACTTAACATATAGGATGTTTATATGTATATATATATACATATGTGGATATATCCATCGGCAATAGAATGGCATATATAAGCTATCGTTATTTCCATCTATATATTATGGGATATTGACTGGGATACCCACCGACTCCCCAGGGTTTGATGATGCAGCCAGGCACATGGCAAGCCATTCTCGGCCATTCAAAAAAGATACCCCACATTTTTTGGATAAACCCATGATATCAAGCTGGTGATATATCATGATATATCGAAATTTGATCAAAACTCTCCCCATGAAAAATCATTCAATCCCCTAATCCTCCAAGGCGCCGCCAAAGGCCACGACTTCTTGCTGAGTTCTAAGGCGTTGATAGCGCTGTTGTAGGACACCTGCTTTCACAGTTAGGCGCCGCCAGGTAGATGATTTGAGGTTTCAACAAGCTTCACCAAGACACAAAAAGGGGATTCAACTAGATTTAACTAAGGAATATGGGAATTTGAGATGATTGTTGGTAATAATATGTAATAATAACGATCCCCAATCTGAGACATCTTCATGGTTTTACACGATTCACCAGCAAACATGAGCGTAGAAGTTCTAGGGAAAATCAAATCATGTATATCTATATCTATATCTATATACATTGTGATAACACATATTCGACGCATTTTAGCATCATTTTAACCCTCCACAGCTGGGGATCTCACAAGTGTATCACCGGAGGCAGTTTCCTAGCATCATGCCATTGTTCCCCCCAAAAGAATAGAAAGGTACTGAACAGTAATTTACCAGTATTGTTCTTAGTATTATTATTGTTGTAGGTTTGTACTTTCTGGGGTTTGCTATAATGTGGTATAATGTGGTAAACCCCGTTGATACGCCCTGATTCTCAAGTGAGGAGTGACCAAAACCCTCTATAATCATGCCCCTTTAACCAGTAAACAACAACATATAACGACCAACCACCAGGGTAAATGGGGCGTTGCCTCATCCGGTTGGATATTCAGCTTCGATGGCATTTCCTGGTTCCAGGCTTCGGTTCACGGGAATCGATATATGGATCCGCCGGGAAACCAACAGTTCGATATGGAGAATCCATGGTTTCCCATATGGAAATGACCGGACCCAGTCAGGGAGGATACTCCAGAAATCTACCTGGCTTGATATGGCGAGAGAAGATCCACCACATCTGCTCCGGTGATCGGGACAAGACTGACATCTATTGATTCAAGGATCAATCAAGTGATTCAATAGTCACCTGGTTGGTGGTTGAGCCACCCCTCTGAAAAATGATGGAGTTCGTCAGTTGGGATGATGACATTCCCAATATATGGAAAAATAATCCAAATGTTCCAAACCACCAACCAGAGTCAATAGTTGTAAGTCAACATCTATTGATTTCTACTGACTATTCAATTGATTCAATCGTCCAGTTCAAAAAACTCTTGGAACTTGTGGGAAACTGAACTCGTCTGGTCTCCCACAGTCTCCCCGACTCCTCCAACAGCCACATGGCTCGCTGCCATAAGAGCTGTCGTTGGCAGTTGTCCAGAAAGATGTTGCACAGCACCAGGTCAGGTCTGGGGGCGGCATGGGATTTTTTCTGCAACCGGAAATTCCAAACTTCATGTTGATCAAAGAAACATGAACCCCAAATTATATAGACCAAATATTCTGAAACAACATACCATTTGAAATTTTCTATCTGACATCTTCTATTTGTTTTTTTGGCCGTCTTCATGTTTGTTTTTGGGGGCTCCAATGAAAACTCCCCAGAGTTTCCCGGTGCTCATCGCCTCACTGCTGCTTCTTCACATAGAGAGAGCAAGCGTAGAGATCCTGGGGATGATCCTAGGGTCCACATGGGTCCACCTCATCGATCCCGAAACAAAAAACAGGAGTCGTAGCCTAAACACAAAGGTTTCCCCTAATAGAGTTTGATTCTTAATCCCATTGTAGACAAAATATCTATCTATACTATCTATACAATTCTATACATTATATGATTCATATGATCTATCCCATTATTCCACTGCCACTATCCCATTATCTAAATAGGTTTTCCCACATCTACGTCAAATACAACCACAAAACACCAACATCCACCAGCCACGTCGATGTCTTGTCCTTGCCCTTGTCGGCACAGGCTGCTGATGGTAGCTGCTGTAGGTTGAAGATCCTGCGGCGTCGCTCGAGAACAACTGGTTGCTGGTTTCAACACCCTGAAACAAAGGGCAACAACACATGTACAAAAAAAATACGAACACTGGTGTATATGTGTCTTTATATTATATACATATATATACATATGTATATGTATATGTACAGTAAAATACAATCATGATAGTACTATACAATAATATGCACTAATAAATAAGGATTGGACAGGATCATGTTAACCATAGGATCTTAGTATTCCCATAGAGCGTGCTCAACAAGGGATGATGACATAAGACTAAGTTGTCCAACATGGTAACCCTTATATAATAGATTGCCAGGGAAGATTCAGCAATAAAGAATGGGGATATGACATGTATCAATAGGGTGTAACAAATAAGGGCTGTCCTGCAGATATCGATTGACCAACAGCAGTAGTGAATAACTCAATGGTGAGTTCCGTCCGACAATTTATGTTACCATATATATCAATCATTTAGGCATTTAAATCTGAAATTAGCATTACATAGCATTAGATAGCTATATCAAAAAATAAACGACTTATTGATTTAAATAACGATTGTTTTCCCATGCATTTGGACAGCTCCAGTGCCCGGTGTTTCACCTCATCCTGCATCTTCTGCCATGCAAGGAGCGCCTGCGAAGCGCGAAACTTACCGCGACGGGGAACCGGAACAGCGTCACAGGGATGGGCGAACGAAATAGTTTGTGTTAGTAAGTCCCCTAAGTGGGGTTATCCCCTATTATATAACTGGGTTATCAATATGGTTGTTAACCACTTGCAAAGTGGGATGATCCGCCAAGTGGCAAACGAGACAGTCAGTATACGAATGGTATCACAAATCTTGACCGTTGGGATATGTTTTTGGAGATACTGTTTGAGATATTAGTATGTAACTGTGTATTTTAGAAATGTTGGATATCTTACAAGTCTTACGACCTTGTTGGAAAGTCGATCGTGAATGGGGCGCCAGAACTTCCATTTGCATGGCATGGCCAAACTTGACCCATCAACCAATATCAACATATATCAGCCATTTGTTGAACGTTACATGTTCATGAGATTGCTGACTTGAAAAGTATTCAACAACTCAAACATAACACAAAAAAAAGTACTGATTTGGAATGGCCTAACACTGATTAAACATCTACTGGTTAGTCATCATTTTCCCTCTTGAAAGGATTTTAATGGCTATAATTGGAGGCCTTTTCTTCCATTTTCAGGTTAAACAAATCCCATAAAAGGGTCGGCCTCCGGCCAGCGGCTGCCCACGTTCAGGGCATTGATCAGGCTGTTGTAGCTGATGACCTTGCCATTTTGAGCGAAACAAACCAGGATTTACATTTTCACGCTTCGAGCCTGAGAAAAACCCATATTTTTTAGTGGAAACTCATCATTTTTTTAATGAATTGGCCCGAAGCCAGGAGTTTTTCGTCTTTAGTTTCTGTTCAGAAAGAATGTATTCCCAGGATTTCTCATGCATTCCATGGCCAGTACGACATGAATACATGCGGAATACATGATAATCTTGAGTTTGTATTCATTTTATTCGTATCCCGGAAGTATTCCGCAAGAAATCATATTCTCCCAAATTTCGGTCCAGAATTGGGGATGATCATTCCAAACAGGAATGGTCATATAACACTATTTGAAACTGATGCTTTCCACCGAGGATCACATATATACATATATATGTATATATGTATATGTATATATATATATGTATATATATATATGTATATATATATATTATATACGTATAATTTGGAAGAATTTTTGGGATGTGACTTAGATCCGACAGCATCATTTGTGGGTTCTATGAGGAAGATTCCACACGTATTTTGGACCCATCGCCTGATAAGTTGGTAACTGAGCTTGTCCGATATTCCCAACCGAATTGGGCTAATTCCACCATTTCCGGACAAACCAAAGTATCGTCTTGTTGGTTATATCACATGAATGAAACATCCCATTCGTATATATATATAGCTATAATATATACATATCATATATATATATATAACTACATACATATGTATATATATATACATACATAATTGCATATATATATATATATATGGTCATATATATAGATGTGTATATATATATACACGTACATATACATATACATGTATATTATGTACAGTATCCCCATTGACTACCCCTCTCATGTTGGGATTTTCGGCACGAGAAAGGAGCCCTGACCGTGGGCCGCAGTGCTTTCTCGTCAACCAAGGCAGAGAACCAGCTGAGGGCCTCGCAGGTGAACCCTGCAATCAGTTTCCCTGGTTTCCCTGGTTGGACAATGTTGGAAAACCATGGGAAAACAGGGATTTATATGGAAAATCTACCATCTTTAAGTTCGGTAAATCAACTATTTCTATTGGCCATTTTCAATAGCAAACTGTTAAATTACCAGAGGGTATGTAAATAGATATATGATAGATAAGATATGGAAAACATCTATCTGGATAGTAAAAATGTATAATAATCAATGTAGTACCTACCATTTACCATGTTGGATAGTAGAATCTGATATATATATATATATGTACATCGATCTAGATAGACCTCTATGTCTCTGGAAAGTTTAATAACCGAAGTTTTACCTATAAAAAATTGTGAACAATCACCTATAAATGATTATAAATGGTTCATAATGGTTCTAAATATATATTATATATATCCTCAGAACTTTCCAAATGGGATATGAAAATCCCATTTCTGAGGATATAACTATGATAATACTATATGATTAAATCCATTCAAAATGTAAACATGTGACCATCAATGAGATGAAACATTCGACATCGGCATCTCAGCTGCTACCAGCTGTCGCCTGCTGCCAGCATTTCGCCGTAGTGCAGGCGTTGATCATGGTATTGTACGTCACCACCTGGCATCATGCGACTGCCGGGGGGCACCAGTTGAATTCAAATATATTCAAATGTCCAAACTTCGAGTGCAGACGTTTCCAGAATCTTGTCACTTTTATGAAAATAGTTATCAATAGTTATCATATTTCGCTGGTGTCCATTGGTTTCCCCTGGTCACATGACGTAAACATCACACCAGACTGGTGTCCCTCCAAACGGAACCAAGTTCCTTCGAGAATTGCACCAGACGGATTCTCTAATTCTTGTCATATCATGTCATACCCTCTGGTTATCCCATAGTTTGCCATGAAAAACCATCATGGTTAATACGTCAGTCATCTACCTTTATGAGCCATTTTCCATAGCTATATTAGCTAATTATATTAGATTGCCAAAGGGCATGATATATATATATACGTAGAAATTACATAGATATATACCCAATATCCCGAGTTAAAGGTACCCAATAACGGTAATATAACGCAAATACCGAAGCATTCCTAAAGAAAAATCGACATCGACATCGAACCACACGACATCGAGCCGTCTAACCGGTGATCCAAACGGAAGCTCGGCGCACCGTGGGCTCGAGTCTCACTGTGGGCATTTGTCGGAACATCTCCTAAGGGCCAGCAACGCCAGCGATGATTGCTGTGAGGGATCATCACTATGGAGCAGTCTTCAAAATCCCTGGTTGATGAAATGTGGGGATTCAATAATATTGGGGATCACAATCTGGTTGGTGGTATACCTACCCCTCTGAAAAATTATGGAGTTCGTCAGTTGGGATGATGACATTCCATTCCCAACTGTATGGGAAAAATTGGTCCAAACCACCAAAGAGTAATTGTATAGATTGTATTAACATAGGGATTTGGACATTGGTTAACCACCATTATAGATTATTCCAAACCACCAACCACCAACCAATTAACATTGGTTAACCCACCATTTCAACCAGGGATTTTGAACACTGCGAAAATGCCATCGGGTGCTCCAACCGTCGCAAGGTGCCACTGCCGACCTGACGAAATGCCGGGCCAAATGATGCCATCAAATCGCGAATCGCTATGTGGCAAAAAATGATTCAGACATATTCAGGAAATTGTATTATGTATGTATAGATAAATAATATTTTAACTGTATATATAATATAATAATATATAATAATATATATCCATCATCCATCATTATCTCGTTCATAGTTTCAACCCCTCTGAAAAATATGAGTTCGTCAGTTGGGATGATGACATTCCCAATATATGGAAAGTCATAAAAGTCATGTTCCAAACCACCAACCAGTGATATCAGTTATATATCATTATTGAATATGATTGATTCTTATACCCCTCCTTGGTTCCGGATCCTCCGGATCCAGATGCTGGGACCCGCCTCTGCCCAAGGTGTTGAGAAGAGTGGTGTACTCTGCCACATTGAGATCTTCGCTCGCCTGCGAGGTCCACGGGCCGCACAAAAAATTGGAATTCACCGTGGCGAAGTGACAGAAGATCCACGAAAGGACATGGAAAATTCCATGGAAATGACCCAACCTTTGAGCTTCATAATTTCTTCCCACATCAAAAAGGGGAAATTTCAACTTGCAGGATGACTTCGGTCGATTTTCGGGGTCCCAGAGATTTACCATGATTGACCTATGTTGTGGATTCACATTTCAAAATTCAGGATATGAAGAATATGCAGTTCAACTTCAATGCGAAGTGCTCTTTGTCTTGGATTGTTGCACAATTTGTGATGGACATGTACCAAACGAATGTGTTTCGGCACCCTAAACACTCGGCCGACAGCTGT